TTATATTTATCCCAATAATAGAAAAAAACGAAGAAAGGCTTAATTATAGGCACTTTTAAAGAACCGGCTTCAAAAAGGTTTTCTGGATATTAAAATTGTTTCTTAAGTTTTAACTTAAAAATCAGCTTATCTTTCAATAATCAATATTTTTCCATCATATATCATTTATATAAAATATATTTGTAGTAGAATATAAAAATGTCGAAAAAATGATTAAGATTACATTCATGAGATCAATGCGATGATCAATTCATATTATCGATTTGGGTGAAGAGAACATAAAAGCCGCTCTATATGAAGGCAAATTGAATGCTATGGACTTATTTATGATTAATATTTTATAAATAAAACAAAAAAAAGAAATTTAAAAAAATCAAAATTCGTCTCTGCGACAATCACATAATCATATAACCTATTATCATCGTTATAATGAAAATCAGAACAAGTGAAATTTATTCTATAAACGCCATAAAATTTTTTCTCTCTTACTTTTATGAAGAGGTTCCAGCAACGCGAATTGAATTTTTTTAGCTTCTTACTTTTTTGTTTTACCAGTAAAATACAAATCACAAACAGGTTTATAACAGTTATTCTACCATCTTTTGGAGCCCTTTTAATTATATATTTATCCATAGCATTACATTGGGGTATGATTATTACATTGATATTAATGTCATCATATTTGCCTAATTTTTCCTTTTTTTATTAACAAAATACAAATTAAACCTATCTATAATATTTATATTACCACTTTTAGAGGCTGGCTGACTTGCTTTTTATTTTTACTTCAATCACCAAATAAAGTATTTATCGAAAAAATTTTCCTGTTCAATTTTACAAATTTCTTATATAAATGATACATGAAGAATATAAGCTTATGAAGAAAAGCTATTCAATAATGAATGATAAGCTGTTTGAAAAATAACAATAATTGTTTTGAATATTACTAAATCAAATTATGCATTACCCAAAGTTTGATAATTTAAAGATGGTAATGTAATTTTTATAATTCTGTAAATTTTATCCCCCATAGCAATTGTCTTTATTCCGCACTATAGAAATTTTATTAGAATGGCAAAACTTTCCCGTTTAGATTTGTTGAGTAAATATCTAGACAAAATATTTATAATAATTAATAGTATATGAAGCTGTTTTCAATAAACATTTCTAAATACAAAAGTCCCGAGATTGTCAAAAACAATAATGGTAATTTCAAATTTGTGAATATATAAAAGACGATAATCGAATTAATATTCTAGGTTTAATTAAAAGGTGTTTTTAAAGTATAACACATTGTTTTCTTCATCAACTATAGTAACACTATTTAAGTTGTTAAATAATTATAATAAAATACCTATAATTAACGATCTCTTTGAAAAATAAAAAATGATAATTTATAGGAAAAATTATACGTTTTCTTTTAAATATCCGTTAAAAGTATTTTCAATAGTGTTTGTTGATTAGGGTAGAAAAATAATCAGTATTTAGACATAAATGATGTTCCATTTTGTAATACAGAATTTTATTGCAAACGTCCTATCATTTTGTATTGTATATTTAAGGAGTAAAACCAACCTTTATATTTTTCAAATATAAAAAGCAAATTTTAATAAAGTATAAAATATTATTTTATTATATGCCAATTAATAAAGTTTCTCATTAGTTTTACCATAATATAATCCTATCTTGAATTTTTACTTTACGAATTGAGATAAAAAAGAATTGTAATTATATAATTAGAATTCTCTATAAAATCACGATTACATGTAATTATTAATTAATAAATAATTTAAGAAATGGAATTTCATAATTATAAATTTTTGCATTACAATTAAAAATTATTTAAATTTTTTGAGTAATTATGCAGCCCATCCCTCTTATTGATAAATAATTTGAATTCAGTTTATAATTTTTTTTAATTATATCATTCAGTTTATTTTTTATAAAGTATAAATATCAATACAAACTCTTTCTTATGATTCAAGCTCCGAGCTATAGAGATATATTCATATGTTTTTTATTCGAATGATTTATAAATTACATTACATAGATTTTAGATTGGGTAATGGCGATATGTCGGTTAATTCGGTTACCGGCTCTTGCCGGAGAACGTTAACATCAAAGTGTTTTAATTTATAGTCATTTTCTTTAATTTGAGCTGAGCCCAGTGTAAAATAAATATTTCCTAACATATCAAAGTATGTAATAGCAACTAACTATAAAAATAAAAAAAAATTAAGATAAATCTGCTAGAAATACTCTTATCACACTAAATTTAATGTGGTTAGTATTTTATACAATTACGTCCCGTTCTTTATTCTTGTAATAATTCTAAAATTTCTGTTGCAAAACGAATGTTCAAAGTATTTTTGAATCTTTACCTGCCCACCTCTTTAACGCTGCCTTTGAAATGCTTTCAATGGTAAGATAGGAAACTGACATTTAGGCTTAAGACTCGCAATGTTAATGAAATTATGCAGGAAAGGCTCTTATATACGTAAAAAATTGTAATGACAATGTTTTTAAGTATGATTTTTTTATGTATTTATTTAAATATTTGTTAGAATTATAATAATTTATAATCCGATAGTTCTGGGTTCGAATCCGGCAAGGATCATGTTTTTCCTAAAGCCAACTAGATGGTCTTTATTGGGGGGAAGATATATTGTAGATATTCAACCACATGATTCCGTTAATAAATTATAAAATTTTTTTATATTTTTATCCTTGTTTAGCAAGTTATATCATTACCCAATCATAAGGTTGGTTGTTTTTTAGTAGATGAAAGAGTTCTATCTCAAAAAATGAAAATAATTATAACATTCCATCTATATTTTTACGCTTATGATACATGTGCATGTTATTAGATTGAAATAAATATATTGAAACTTAATAACTTATAGACATATATTTTGCTCATATTAAATATTTAACTTTTGCAAATCTAAAGACTAAACAATAAGCTATAAGCCATTTAAATAATACTAAATTAACTCTTCTAACGACACTTTTAACCATAACGTGATCTTGTCCAAGAGATAGGTGTCGTATTGGGATATGGAATCATGTGGGATTCGGAATCCCAACGTGGGGATTCAAGATCTTGAATCCCCACGTTTTATTCAGGATCTTTTTTTTTAAATATTTTTTTTAAAAATATTTAATAAATATTCCGAATCCCCATGAAAAAAATAAAATAATTTAATTACTTTTTCTTCTCTTTTTTTGCGGCTGGCACCCTATAATTAAAAGGCCAAAATTAGGGATTTAAAAAGAAAATTAAAAAAAAGTAAATAGTATAAAATTAAGGCATATAATGAATGCAAAGGGATGAGGTTAAGACTTTTTTGTTTTAAAAAATATTAAAATAATTTATTTTTTTTGTATGTAAATTTATTTTATAAATTTATATTTTTTGCGGATTTTACAAAATTCTCAAAATTAATATAGTCAAACGGGCCCGACGGTCGATTAAAATAATATTATGTATCTTAAAATTTTGAAAACAAAAATTCAACTCCTTCTTCCACTTTTGAACAAAATCTCAAGCTTACATAATGTTATTTCGGCTAAAATCTAAATAGGGCCATTTTTAAAAATACTAGTCAAATTTGAGCATATTATTTTATAATAAAAAAACAGCTATAGAATCATGATTCCTTCCTTGATTTATAAAAAATTTACCATATTTTGTTTAAAACCTATAAAAAAATACGCATAAATTCAACGAGAAAATAACAATATTTTTCTAATATTTATTGATTATGGTAATAAATAAATTAAGTCACATTAACTCTTTTACATACGCTAAATAGAGCAAAGAATCGAAGAAATAGGTCAAAAATCCATATTTTATTTTTTTTTTCGGTTTGAAGGGTGGGTACAATTGCTGGTTTAGGAGCTAAAAGGCAAAGAGAAAAAAAAATTAATTTTAAATCTATGATAAACTATGTATATTTTTTTTAAATTATAGAATTTTTACCATATCCCAATGAATTGAAGCGAAAAAGGAATGGGAGATTATCTCGCTAAAACCAGTTTTCGGATTACTTCCTAATCTTTCCATGGGATCCTATAAAATTATATTTATTTAATGCACAAATTATATTATCAAACTATATTGAGAAGTCCACTCATAATAGAATTAGCTTCGACTGACACACGCCATGGACCGGAAAACCTTTCTGGTTAAAGTTTTAAGAAAATATTAAACATACAAAATAAGCTGATTATTTGTGATCTAGATCATTTATTATAAGAAAATTTTTTTTTAAGACACTCTAAAAGTGTATTATTGAACCTTGATAGTAGTAGTACGTCGCTTTATCAGACCCTCGAAAAATTATAGGGCCCACTAGAAATTCATAAAGAAGAACACCGAGCGAATACCAATCCACACCAAAATCTTTCATAATTAAAATTAAATTTTTTTATAGGGAAGAGGATACATTTACCTAATAATTTTATTTTAGCTAAACCCTAAAAATTATTTTAAAATAAATTTTTGGTACTAATTATTATAATCCTTAAAGTATAATTTGATATTTTTCTGTATTACGAAATAGGAAAATATAAAAAAGTAATCCAAAAGGCTTACCATAGTATTCACCATGCCAAATTTCGGGCGCCATATATGGGATTGTCCCACAGAATGTGTTCACTTTCTCTCCTTTCGCTAAACCCTCCTATTTAATTACCGTTAATATAAAATCATTATTAGCTCATCCTAGCTCAACGAAATTAGGTTTGAATATTCTTCTCCAATTTAAGTAATAATATGTTATATTTACACAAATCTTATAAGTTAATTTCAATAGATATACTAAATAATTAAATCTGTTGTGTTTATTTTATATCTAATTATATTTAGGTTTTTTAAAAATAATTTATAAACATTTTAAATCAGTGTACCGATTTAGGCCACCTATAATGACGGCGGCTAGAAAGCGGCGCTCTCCTGGCCGCCGACAGTTTATTGGGTGCTTTTTTAAAAGATTTTTTTATACCATGCATGCTCCATAGTCGGCTAGTTTGGTATGGCCCTCACGGTCTATGAGTATATTTTCGGGTTTTAGATCACGATGAATGATCCCTTAAAAGATAGAAATATACAATTGTATTTGAAAAACTATACATTATATTTAATTAATTGTGCAAAGATATGATATTAGTGTTATTAAAGATACTTTAATGATATATAATATTTGTTAAAACCGTTGTCGTGTAGAAAATTTAAAGCAATTGCGATTTCTCCTCCGTAGAATATGGCATGGTCCTCCACCAGTCGTCCATATCTATTCAGAATACATCTAAGATTTCCACCAGATATGTAATCCATCAGCAATATATACCTTCGAAAAAAATTTAATATGAGATTTCAAACCGAGATTATCAAATCGCCCTATGTCACCATTTCAAGATATATAAAAAAAACGCTATTAGCATTAAAAGATAGCAGATAAAATTATCTCTTATATCATTGCAAGCATTTTAAAAGCGCTTTTTTAAAAAGCGACTATAGCGCGAGGCATAATCAATTGATATGTCGAATTCTTAATATTCAAATTTTATTATTTATCTTAACTATATATATTTTCTTACTGTTTCTCATTATAATCAATAATCATATAAAAGGAATAAAATACTTGTGGGGAGTTTGGTAAAAGGAATGAAGGCCAACCAGGAAAGGATGGTTCTTGACAGTCTCAAGAACATGTAATTCTGCTCGAATCCACTTTATAGAGGCCATATCCTAAAAGCAAATATTTGATTTACAATCCAAAAGAAAAAAAATCTATAGTGTATTCACATTTAATATTTGTTGCAAAAATAGATAAATAAATATGAACCTCAGTGCCATTTACATATCGTCTATTGACAAACTTCATAGCATAGTTTTGGGAGGTATTCTTACGCTTGACTTTGAATACCTTCCCATACGCGCCGCATCCTAAAACGCCATGGCATCTAAATTCCGACAATTGGTACTCAGGTTTTCTTAGAACTTTATAAATAAAAAAGAGCTCGTATATTAAATTACAAAATCTTGATGGTAAAATATTGGAGAAATAAAATGGTATATCAAACTTTTTTCCAATTCCCAAAATTCGAGGCCGCTAAATTCACTGCGCGGTTTATTGTTAATCGACCCTTTTAATATGCGGAAAATATAATAATGTTTATATATTATAAATGAAATATCGACCTTGATAAAATTCGCTATTAATTTGCAAAAAATCTAGTATAAAAAGGCAGGGGGAATACTGACAAATGATTCTACGAAATAAATTCTTTAACTTCAAAAGTACAAAAATTATTAGAACTATATATAGGAAATAATTATGAAAGTAAATTTTTTTTTTCATCCAGAAATTTTAATAGATTCTAAATGAAATATAAGACTTTGATAAAATTCCCAATGATAATCTACGAAATCTAAATCGTTTAGAAAAAGTATAGGAAGTTTAATACTTTTTGTAAACTTTCTGGTACAAAATTTATTCAAGCTACATATGATATATATTTTATGAAAGAATAGAAGAGATAAATATATTGTAATTGAATCAAATATTCTAGGAGATTACCTTTATCATTAGGAGTCCTGGTAAAATTAACTTTGGACTCATTGGTATTTGCAAGTTCACTATATTTCGAATAATAAATAAAATAATTATCATTTTTTAAAGCATTAAATATTTTATTCTAAATTCCAAATTAGCATTCTCTAAGCAGAATTGTTTTCATTTTTTATTTTTTCTCTCTTAATTTATCTTTCTTCCTCTTTTTAGCCCATCAAATTAAGATTAAATTGACATTATACCTCTAATAAATTATTTCTTATCCCATATGCGATTCGATTATTGATATTACTAATATACGAATATCCTATTTTTGAATATTCCAATCGAATACCAATAATAATAGAGATTGGATCGAATTATTAGTATATTACTAGAAATTATCCCTAAGTATTCAAAATATCCTTAATTTATAATACTTTTTCCATTATTTCAAAGTTCATTTTTACACTCATTGAAAAATATTTTAAATTATTTAATTTTCCAAAATTAAACGAATAAAATTATGGTTTTTATTATTCGTTCCCAACATATTTTATCGCTTTTTTTGGCACCATTAAAAACTATCCCAATGGTTAATATAACCCAAATTTACTTGGAAGCCAGAGGGCTATATCTTAGATTTTCACTACTTTCGCTATCCTTCCCAATATCCAAATTATCAATTGGAACCGTTTTCTTCTCCATTCTCCTCTTGTTGAATTTTTTTCTAAACCAATTCACTAATTTATTACCTTTTTTATCCTTTTTTTTAACTAATAAAATCAAATCATGAACGTTTCTCTAATAATTATTTTACCCTCATGTTGAGCTCTTTCACATTCCTCGTCTTCTACAATAGATTTTTTTACAAGTTTGCTAAAGAACTTTTTTGTTTCCCCTTTTTTTTTGACTAATAAAATACATATTAAATATATCTATAATATTTACCTTCTTCGTTTATATGGTCAACTTCCCCTTTATCTTTACTACAATTCCCAAATAAAGTTTTTAGTAAATTTTTCATTTTAACAAATTAATTTTTTAATAAATGCTTACGTTGAAAATATATTGATCTGAAACGCAATATTGCTAAAAAAAATTGATTGTTGAGAAACATCTTATGAACAAATCCAATACTTAAACTAAAATTTGAAATTTGAACCAGCAACCCCAGAATCTGAGACAAATTTAGAAATTAGAGAAGCCCATCTAATAATTTTCCGAAATTCTTTCCAGAGTAAGTTCTAACTGCGAACTTCGTATTTTTTTAGTAACCTTTATACTTTATATCCAAACTTATCACGAATGTTTATCGATAAATAATTCTAAAGCGAAGTAACATTACCGAAAAAATTCTGTGAAATTGATTTTCGTTAACTTTTATTTCCAAGATTATAATCGCTAAATTAATTTCCTCTAAATTTTAAATTCGATCCCTTGAAGCTAATATATTTTTTAGCTAAACATTTGTCACAAATCCTTTAATGTTAACAGAGTTAGCTTAAATGTGACCTTTATCTAATTTAATAAAAAATAATAATTTGGCAATTACTTATTGGGCTCTCATCATAGTTTATGCAATATAAATCTTCTGAGATAGAATCTTTTCCAATCTTTCTAAGGTTTTTTTAAAAAATCTGAAAGCTAATTTATCTGAGGGATTGTTTTTGTTAAGTAAAAAGACTCTATTTTGATTTTTTATAACGATTTTTCTTATTTATTGTGTAAATAATAAGGTGTATCTCATTTCTTTCGAAATTGTCTTATCCTTTGCAAGTTTTTATTTCAATTATGAATACTCTAAACTTAAAATGTACATTATATATAATATCTAATGTGATATATTTTTTTAAATAAATTTCCTGGAGATTCAAACCTACTTTTTCCTTGGTTGCTTTAGATTATTACCGCCGACTCCTAAGATTATCTATTACATAACCTTCCTTTTATTTCCATCCTCTTTACTTTGATTTACATGGCTATCTTGCTCATATTAAATGTATGCTATTTAATAATCTTTATAATCCAATGTCGGCTAAATTGTATTATATAAATAATATAACATTTGTATTTAATATGTTCCAATATCGGAAAATAAATGATTTAACACAAATGAAAAACCTATTATCATATATATGTCGTAATGGAATCATGTGGGACACACACAAATCATTAAATTAAAGTCTAAACAAAATAATAATATTTAAAAGAAAACAGGGGTAAGATAGTAGAATAAAATAGCATACCTTTTTCATGTGCCCCAAAATTTAGAATTAACATTAAACGTTTTAGCCCAAATATAGAAAATGTAGGAAAAATATAAAAAATGTTTGGAAAAAAAGATAGAAAATATAAATAAAACAGAGAATTTAAAAAAATTATTTTGTACATAAGAATATTTTGCCAAAATATAACCATATAGTGTCTATTTTTACTTAAAAAATTGGAGACAAAAGACCCTCCTCCATCATGTATCTGTATATATATAGGTTAGTATTCGCTTGTTTCGTAAATTCTAATTCTATTTAAAAATATCAGAAGACCAATTTATAATTTCTCTAGAAAGCATCATGCAGTCATGGATAGCTTTGAAAAAGGTAAAATAACTTGAGTGTATTTTAATAAAATTATTTTTTTATTATAAAAATTCTTTCCAATTATATATATTACCGAGAATTTTTCATTTTTTCAACTTATAATCATTTTTTGAGCGCGTTTTTTTAAATTTATAAAAAATAATCCTATTTTACCGGAAATGTATTTCCATCAAGTTGGAATATAACCCTATGAATTTCAGACAATTTTGCCATAAACATTTGATCTTTAAATGGCTTGGCAAAAGTGTCTATAATATATATATTAAATTTTTTAAGTATGCTGGATTCTCGTATAAAATTAGATTTTAAATTTTTTAAAATGCGCTCTAAAAACGATATAAATTTTTAAAAAAAAAATACATCGTCTCTAACATGTTTATTTGGAGTTTCTGTAAAAATAGCAATCGATATATAATATATTTAGTTTTAGAAAAAAAATTATAGCCGGGGGCCATAAAACAAATCCGGGATATCTCTGATATATATTTATTTATTAATAAAGATGCTCAATTATCCAATTACAAAGTTTTTTCAGAAACTGAAAGTTTTCATCAATACTATTTTTTTTTTCTAACCTTATTTCTTCAGTCTCTATTATTTTTTTAACATTTTCTATTTATATTTACATTTTATATATTTTGGCCAAATATTTTTATGTAAAAAAAATTTATTTTGTCGAAACTTTCTATATTTTGACCAACAAATCCTTTTTAGATTATATTTTGGATAGAAAACATTTTCTATATGTATAATCAAAATTTTTTATAGCGCGTCAAATTTTAAGCATAAAAATATGAAAATCTGATGTTAAAAACATGTGATTGACGAAGTTTGAAATGTATCTAATTTGATTTAAAATGCTAATCAAATTTCTACGTAAAAGTTTTTATTATTGATTTATCTTTGTAAGTTATGTAATTTTTAGACTTCAATTTAGTGTTAACTGAAATACGTCTTTAACAAGCACAGATGGTGTAACTTGTTAATCTCATCAAGTGTTGACAGGTTTAAATGATAACTGATTAATTATTAAAAAATATTCTGAATAATTCAAATAAAATGAATATTTCGATTCTTAATATAAATTAATCTAATAAAGTAAATATTTATCGCATATTATAATTTTTAGATTCGAATATCACTTATTTGTATTAGAAATATTCATATTCTAATATTATTATTTTCGTTCCAATCGAATAATTTTATATTTTAATTCGAATAAAACGAATAATTTAATATTCGTTTTGTTATTCGATTTGATTCAAATTCGAAATGAATTGAATATTTATTTTATCAGTGCATAATTTTCGAAAAATTATCTATACATTTTTGATTACTTGGTAGAGTTTGGAACCGGATAGAGAATCAGGAGAACTCGTAGAATAATCTTAGATTTTTAAAAGGGAGCCTAGAAACCATTTATCAAAATTTTAGGAACCCAAAACTATTTTTTCAAAAAAATATTTAGAACCGAAACTAGAGTCATTTTTACTCCAGGTTTTGATACCCGAAATTCTAACGCTTATCGCACTACGCAAGAGGATATCTATTTCACTATTAATAAGATGAATCATATTAAAATGAACTTGTTAGAGTGATTAGGTATGTGGCTTCGAAATGGCATCACTAGGAAAGTCGATCATTTTTTATGATTAAATTTATTCTAGGTAATAGAGGAAATAAATATAATTAAGCCTAATTCTGGAGAACTATTTAACGCTTCGTTTTAATAATCTTAGCAATATAAAATATTAAAGATGATAATATTGTCTCCTAAATTAACATTAAAAGCCTCCGAAATAAACACCTCTAAGATGCTAATGTGAATCTTAAGAAATTCATATAAACAAACGAATAAGCGTGACCTAAGACAAATAAGCTAACAGATATGTACGGTACTAATTTAAATATCGTAAACAATTCTAGCTTGTATGATTCTGAAGAACGGTTTAGTCATAGTTAAGAAAATATTTCTATAATCTACATACCTTTAATCTTGCACACATCTTTGATCAATGATAAAATGTCAAGTAATCTTTTTAACATCCTCTAATTTAGAGAAAAATATATCGTTTTTTATTTCATTTTTACAAATAGTAGAATCTAACAAATACTTGAGAATTTAATTTTGTGAATTTTATTGCATATTTTTAAAAAATATTATCTTAATTTCAATTAATATATATTTTTTTTCACAAATTTTTCATTTATAAATTATACCCTAACCCAAAAATATATATCAAAAAAACAAATAATATATTAAGAATGAATTAAAAAATATATATGTAAAAAGAGAAATGAGATAAAAAAAAATAAAATTTAAAAAAAGGGTACAAATCACCCTAGAGAAGAGTGAATGCTTAAATAATTGGACCTGCAGATTTCCAGGGAAATCTGCTGATGAAGGTAAAATCCTTCATTGGGATCCCTTGAGATCTGCCTCATTTTTTTCCTATAGTTTTGATGAAATTTAGAGCATCACTTCCGAACATGCCTAGGGTATTGGTAACGATTGGGATAAACATGGTGTTGGTGAGGCAAGCATATTTGTTTTTTTAGAATTTCGGCCTTTTCGATGGCAGAAAATGAGAGGTTAAACTTGGCGGCAAAATCGACACAGGTATAGTTCCAGACTTAATGTTAATAAATTTTAACAACCACCCCCGCCCCCAAACTCACCCTGGAGAAATGCGCATTATTTAATCAATTCTTTTTATTAATTTCCATTTGATACCCATGTTAGATATTTTACTATATACTTTTTACTTACCCACCCTCTTCCTCAACTAATTTCTTGGTGATATTGAGAATATAATCAATTTATCTTTTTATTCGTTTTCATTTGTTAGCTTTGAAAAGATATTATGTTTAAAAAAATGTATCCACACCTACCCTGATGACATATATTGTTGAGTAGCAATGTAATCAATTTATTATTTTTTTACGTTTGATATACATGTTAACATTGTGTACTTCCCCAACACCTACCTTATGACATAAGAGTGTTGAGCGTTGATGTGATCAATTACTCTTTTTATTAGTTTTCATCTAATATCCATGATAAGATAATATTTTTTAAAAATTCACTCCCACCCTTCTCCACCTATCTTGATGACATAAATTGCTGAGTAAATATAATCGATTAATTTTTTATAAGCTTTCATTTTGATACCTGCCCTTGTCAAGATATTGTTCAAAAGACCCCCCCCCCACTCATCCATGACTTAGACTCGAGGGCATAGATTAATAAAGTCAACGATGGATTACTCAACAATTCATTTAACTTGAAAATAAAATACTTCAATAGCAAAAATTTCTAAGCGATTTAGTATTTCTTCTAAGAAATTCAATAAAACAAATTCTGAAAAAAAAAATTCTTACTTAGCAAAATCGTCTTTGATTGAAAATATGTGGAATTAAGTATAAATACTTAACTTTAAGGCAGTTCCTGCCTACTTTTAATTTAATTGCTTTTTAATATAGGTTAAAGAGCTTTTGAATTAGTTTTTCTAATTTTTTTGGTTGTTTTTTTTCTCCTATTGTATTGCTTTTTTGGTTATTTAGTAATAATACGACCTAGGAATTTTTTTTTAATTCTGAGCAATTAAGTAAAAAAAAAATGAGTATTTCAGTTTTAATTTTGGGAAAAATGATATGAAATTACTTTGTTAAATATGTTTAATTAGCCAGTTATACTAATATTATTATATCGCTTGTCAAGATTTTGCTGTCATCTAAAATTAAAAGATAATTTGCAAAAATCAAATCAGGAAGAAGAGGGTAGATAATTCAAAAGGTTTCGAAAGCCTTTTCCATCTCTTCGCGCTTCTAAGATATATGTCTGAGAAAATCGTTTGCATGAACTACATTAAATTGATTATATGTGCAATTTTAAGCAAGAAAATGAGAAAAAAAAATTTATCTTTTGGCTAAGTCTCGTAAAATTTTAAACATATATAATAAATTTGCATTGATGATTTATTTTACGTTTAAAATATGATTGGTCGCCTGAAATCCATTAGGGTTTGCAACCTCGTAATAATTTAAATGCGGATTTTATATCTTTTAATAAGATGATTGACTGCTACATCTCAATTGATTCAAAATTTAGTGATAAAATTAAGGATGGATACTGATTATACACATGCTGGAATTTACATGGGCAGAAAGTCTTTTAATTCTAAATTCCATTTTACTCTATGATATATACACACAACATACTATATATACATTGTCAATCAAAAAAATATGTTTAAAAAGTATATATTCATTTTAAAAAAATAAGAAGGTAATTACTATATATAATATTCCTGAGATTAAGTGAATGTGAGAGCTCAATTTTAAAAAAAAGTAAAAAATTTATCACAAGATTCATGTGCAATTTTCAAGCAAAATTATATTTTAAACGAATCTCTAAAGAACAAATTTGATGCAATAGCTCCTCGAGTGTTTGGTAACTTAATTTAATTGATAATCTAAGCATTTGGTTGAAATCGTGCCACCAATGGGGTAATTTTAAATGTGTACCATTTTCATTTCTTTTATTCACATTTGTATCACCGCTGGAAAGCATTTTCTTGACCAATTTCTTAAATTCAGTTTTGGTACCCCCTATGGATTTCTTATTGGTGAAGTCTAAAATATTCCGAATACTTATCTCCTCCAACAAGTTAGAATCGCTTTTTACGGTGATGTATTTCCATTGGGAACTCATGTATATTAACAATGGGTCTGTTTCAATTTTTTTTGTGGCCTTTGATTCGAGGTCATTTTTTATTTTAAAATTTTTTGTTTCCCTCGATTCGCTATAATCATCAAGATTTCTATTGTCGAGAAGTGCTTCAAAAGTTTTAACAAGACGAGATTTTAGAGAGGAGGGATTGTTATCAGGGTTCGGTCTGTAAGCCGAGAAACGAGCCGCATTTAAGCATTCGTTTGTTCTTTCGGTTATATCAGAGGCATTTATCAGGTCCGGCTGAAGCATCAGACGAGTTTTAGCCCGGTGCATGGTGTTTGAACAAGTCATTATAGAAGCAAGTTTATCAGGATCGGCATTTTCTACGATACCCACTGCATATTTATCTAGGAGAGACTCCAATACTACATTTGATTTGGGAGATGTAATTAATGAGGGATTTAATTCATTAGGTCGTTTTGTATAATCTATACTAAAATGTTGATCGTACTTTCGTTCGCACCCTTCATAAAACTTATCCAACCAAGTCCTAAATTCTGGGTTGAAATTTACTTCCAACGAATCGTTAAAATTAGGATTATAATTATTTTGAGAACGAGATGAGGTATGGGAAGAGTAAAAAGTAGCTAGAAAAATTTTGAAGGAGACCAAGACAAGTGCCCAAGCTTGACCTTCCCAATTGAACCAATATTTAGCACCTTTAAATTTGTTGTAGGGAGGATCTTCTAGAGTAAATAGCTCCAATACTGGTACAGCATCTTCTCCTTTTAGATGTAAAGAAGTTTTTGTACCATTACTCATCTTAAAACTGTCTAACAAGGTATGGGCTATGATCTTCACTGATCCTTATTAAAAAATTTTATATATAAAACATAAATAAAACAATAAAAATATTTGAATCGTATATAAATTATATAAGAAGCTTATTATTATTAAAATTTCTCGACTATATGAAACACCCCTGTATTGTATAACATTAAAAAGTAAACTAAATTTGACTAAAATAAATAACCCACCAGGCAATTCAAGTCTGCTTAGTATTCTATCGATCATAGGTCTTAGTACGCTCAAATATAGATTGGAAGAGTCTTCGAAATTTGAATCAAAATGGAGATTTTGGTGCCATCCCATGGCTGAGATGAGTTTGGCACAATTTATTCTGATGCTTCGGGATAAAGGTAGTGTCCGAGTGTTTAAAACACAGGTGTCGAACATTGAAAATCTCATATTTTCTGGTAGAACTTGGAAAGAATTAACGAAAAATGGAAGGGAGCCAGAGTTAACCAATCTGTTTGAAAATATATATATCGTATTTATTTTAGTAATTATATTTATTATACTATATAAAAAATATAATAATAAATGATTTTAAAAATAGTTATATGAAGCGTTTTTCTTCCCTTTTAAAAAAGAGCTTAAACGAGATTTATATATCTTATATAAATAATAAGAACGTTAGGCAGAGCCCTGCATAGATCTACCCGAGTCCCCTCAGCTAATGTCGTATTGAACCAGACCGGCTTTATTTCCTAGTCCCTAATTTAATCTATTCAATTATTTTTAAAAACATTTTTCATTCAAATTTAAATCATTATAAGTTAAAAAATATATTTTTGTAGCTATAATAAACCAAAAATATAGCATATAATGGCCAGGTCACTTTGCATAAAATTCTGGAAATTAAGTAATATAAGACACTGTATCTATCTAATCCATCCAATTAATCGAATTTTACTTTTAAAATTGATTTCAAGTGAACCAAGCTAAACAAAACAAAAATTTCTTAGATTGGATATGAAAAAGGGCTCTAGTATACATTTTTTAAAATATGCATAATCTTTTTACATTAAAAATTACAACTCCCTAAAATTAATCTATCTATATTTTAAAAAAGAGAAAAAAAATAACCTAACCTAATTATATCTGATAGAAGAATCGGCCTATTAACGTTAGAAGAATTTGGAGAAGAGCAAAGAAATGCGCCTAGATAGGTAAAACCCAAAGTGGAAAGAAGTGTGAGACAACCTGTTCTAAGACTCCCTTTTGCATAGTTATTTGAATCTTTTGACTTTGGAGGTTTATTATCTTCAATAATCGGTTTGGATTTAAAACGGTGGACATAATTTTGATTCCTTTCTTTAATAGAATACTTGTTGAGGCACTTATTGGTGTATCTTCTGGGAATATTTTTGAGCAAATAAGCCTCTACAGTCTTAGCATCTAGACCTGGTCTAATTAAGGTTTCCAAACTTTGGTGCCGATCATTTTTGTGTTTCTTGTGGGTTTGCTTTTTATTTTCTTCCGAATAAGGTTTTCTTTTATTAGAGCATTCATCCTTTGGTTCAAACGATATTTCTTCAACATACTTATCCAAAATGGCGGACAATCCATTACCAACAAAATTTTCAAGTTTTAACTCACCATTTTCGGACGTCTTCTCTGTGTTTTCGATGTTGAGGCCAAAATCAGTCATTTTGATAGTTGATCCCTGATCCGTTGAGTTATCAGCCGTATCCTGATTATTTAGAGAATCAGCCAATTGGCGAAAGATGGACTTGGTAGACCAGTGGTCGCACTGCAATATATCTCTGAATCTAGGGTTAGGTCCTATGTTTGGGGTAGAAGTAAATCCTATGCCTTTATAATATAAGTATTTTTGTTATAAATAATTAATCAAAGGATTGCTTGTATTATGAATTCTCTTTGTAAAAAAAAGGATAATCGTGATCGAGTGTTCTATCTCTGATCCTTTCTCAAAAAATTTCTTTTAAATCTATCATATATAATTAATTTTTTTTAAAAAAACCTATATTGCACAATTTAACCCTCTATTGCGCGAAAATCAATAAATGATATAATTTTTTAAAAAAACTTATTTTTGTCTTTAAAGGGCTCTTAATAAACTAAAAATAATTTTTTGGAAAAAAAATTTTTAACGTAAAAAAAATTTCAGTGTGTGTAATACACAATGCGTGTAAAAAGTATCATATTTTTTCAATTTCAAACCTATATTAAAATAAAGATATATAATTTTATTATTTGATAAATAATGTAATAAAACAAATTTATATTCATTTTCGTGAAATAATTTAAAACAATCGTTTTTTGTGGTAAAACATATTGATACACCATATTTGGATCACTTTCGTAACCAATTTACACCCAGGGTTTTTGCATTATTTTGGCCAATGTGTTATTAAATCATGTCTTATTTCTTTCTGCGTAATAAGACTTGTCGGCCCCTTGCTAGATTTTTCTTTATATTTGGTGTCAATTGATATTCGTTTTTTTATGCTAGCGTTCACATTTTTATTAAATTTACAGAGTAACTGCTATTGAAATTTTAAATGTTAATAATGGCATCTGTTCTTTTGTCAATACCTTTAAAGCTAAAAAACCTCGCTCATACATTAACCATAATTTATGAGCATTATATCAAGTATATGGAATACTATACAGTGATACCATTTAAGTGATCTTATGTGAATCCACACTCCATCTTTTAGAATTCTTTTTCAGTTGGAAAATGGCAATCTCGCTATAACAATACTCCCTTTTGGGCAAATAATACTTGAAGTTCTATACCACAGAACCAATTAATAAAACCAATCTAAAACTGGAATGTAGTGGTACTAATAGTTGAAATACCGCATTTTCACTAGAATTAACATCTGTGATCTTGAATCAAGAATATCCTCAACTGATGAACTACTAAGGTTAGAATCAGAACTATCTTTTGGAATACAGTACATTTTGACTATAGATAGCAAATAAAGAATATTTAATAATATAAAAAAAATAAAGCCCACATATTGCATTTGTGTGCATTATGTATCTGGGTACATGTACCTTAAAATTTAAATTTTAAACACTATAATACGATTTTTAACTTTCTGTTCCTTAAAAATTTGTACAAGAGAAATGACATAATTTATAAAATGGAAAATGCAACTATTTGAAAGTTGTAATCTATGTATTTTAGAATTTTCATATTAATTGTTTCTTTCATTTTTGATAAAATTAACTATAGAAATAAATAAAATATATGTATGTGTATCTATTATACATCATGTGTATAAAACTGTAAAAATTTTATACCTTTTTTATGGTATGTGTATTTAAATATGATGTATGCAATAGAGGGTTAAAAAATCCATCGGAATTTTAAAATTTTAATTTCCCACATATTTTTTGATTAGCTTTAAAATATAATCAAGATAGTCACATTCAAACAACGTGTTACAAAAGTAAAAGTTATTCATGGTGATACTTCTCCAAAAAAATTTAGAATGATGATAGTTTTAAAAATGATAAACTCTAAAACTAGCTATATCCTTTTTTAAAAATAACTAATTAAAGAAATACTTTTAGATATACAAATATTTTTTATTACATTGGGCCAATTTTTTGTCTTTTTTAAAATATTGGCTATTGGCAATAGATCCCATAAAATGGCATTAATTTAGAATGTTTATGATTTTAAAACTTAATGCACATATAAAAGAAATTCTAAAAATTTCTATCGATTATAAATAGACTAGATGGTTTTCTCAGTAATAGAAAGATTTTTGGAACAAAAAAAAATTACAACTATTAAATAAAGTAGATGTTTTATCAATGTTTATATACTTTACATTGATGAATATAACTGAATAAATATGCCTAAAATGATATTATAATAAAAAATTAATAATAGTGTTTTTTTAAATCACTTAAGTGTTCAATAAAATAAAAATATGTCAAATATTTATAAAGAAAAAAAAAAGATAACTAAGACAGAAATTTGTTTTCTAGATGATAATTAAATATCTTTATTTGGCAAGAAACCCATCATATACTTAATAACCTAGCATAAAGGAAGTAGTAAGGGTGTATCTTTAACCTTAAAAATATCATAATATATTAATTTTCACACATATTCTAATTATATATTACCATCTGTTTAATATAATTATGTTCAGAGATGCACTGATTCTTATAGTATTCATTATTAGCCAATACCTTTAATTCCAACCAATACCAGTAACTATACCCCAAATCATATAACAAAAAATTAATTCTATTATGGGCATAAATTTCTAAGAAAAAAAAAATCATACAAATTTCTATACAGTTTGGAAAGAAAATGTTTAAAAGTAAAATATTAGACAAATATTAGGCACTCAATAAATATGATAAAGCCAGATATTCTACTTTTAAATAATAACCATATTAAAACCAATATTAATAATAAAGAAAGCTTTGCCAATTCTCTCCCTATTTCTTCTTAAAAAATTTTGTTGCAGAATTAAATTTTAGAATGAAAAATAACAAGTTATCGCCTAAATTACAAATCAAAAATAATTTTTTGTAAATAAAGACTAGAAAATTCTTATATTTATTTCAAATTTTTAAATAAACTTAATTTTTCATTATATTTTATTAAAAAAATATATTCATTAGTGGTATTAGCTAATTGTTATCAGTAGTGACAAAAAAGTGATACTGGCACATCTGATTATTTACACAGGATTTTTTTTTTACTAATTTAATTTTTAAATAGTTAGTTAAGGGCACAAAAAATTCATATGCAATTTGTTGATTTTAGGTTATTATTAGTATAAATATAATAAAGATGAACATTTTATTTTAAAAAAATTAACCTAATTTCTGGAAATAAATTTTTAACATATTGAAAACAATAGTGTTAAGTATAGGAGGGGCACTCATGTGAATAAGAGCTTTGACTTGTTTATTAATGATCATGCCAAATGCTTCCGGATATGTCCAAGGAATTCCTTTATTAACTTTAAATAAAATATTTAATAACTCATAAGCATGTGTCCATATTAATAATAAAATTATGAATTCATGATTTAAAAGGTAATAAAAAAATTAATAATATACAAAATTTTGGGGCAATATCTTTGAGGGATGAAGTTTGATTTGAAAATTTTTGTGAATGTCCAAGATTATAAGCATCTTCTGAATATTGTTCATGTATATCAGAAATTTGTAAATTACATGCAGAACAATAATATTTACCACCAATGCAAATAAAAGAGGTACCATCACACTCTTTACAGGCAAACATTAAATATTTATATATATAATGAAATAAAAAATGTAGCAAAAAAAAAAAATATTTTTAGGATGGAATATCGTCGGGAAATCCTAATTGTTTCCAATCCTCTTTTGCCATTAAATTCTTTTTCATTCTGCATTCTAGGTAATTTTTGGCTTCTTTTCGACATTTGGATGTATTTTGATCGTTTTTGCTGACACATAACATGTATTCGAGTACGTAAGTTTTGCAAAGATTGTTATGATCTAACGGAAAGCTACCATTATCGGGAGGTACAGGTTTAAAAACTTTAATTTGAGTTACCGTCGACATGCAAATGAAAAAATATAGAAAGATAAATCCAAAGGATCCTAAAAGCAAAATATTGACATAATTTCCATTAATCTGTCAAAATAGACAGACTGATGATTATCTTTAAAGGTAGTGACATTATATATAGCTGCTTATCGTATTATTAAAACAATTAAAGGCCTAGGCTAATATAGGGATTTTCAGTGATAATATTTATTTCACTCCTAAATTCTGTCTTCACCGATGAATATTAACCTAAATACTGTGCTCTAGATACTTGAAAATTTATCAAATTTGAGATTATTCAAAAATAGTTGAAACTCGTTTAACAACAATAGCTTTAGGTATATTACTTATATTATGTAAAAAAATTTTATACTATATTACTTTATAATGTTTTAATCTATAATCAAAGTGTACAATACATAAGCGTAGCCAGGATAGGAAGCTTGGGGAAATCCTCCCTCCTTCAAAAATTTATCACTTTTAAAAAAATATCCCCCTTAGTCCCCTCCCTACTCTCTGACCCCCCCCCCCAATGTATACATATATCTTAAACAATAATTTGAAGGAAATAATGTAAAAGTTGATATTTTTTTAAACTAAAACTATTCATCATAATTTAAATTTATACATTTTTGTACGTGATACGTGATAAAAGCGTCGCCCTTTGGTTGTGGGTACAACAGAGCTACGCTAAGTATAAAAAAAGTGAACTAAAAATGTTTTTTAATAAATGGAATATAAGCCAAAGATATATCTTAGACAAAAGTGAAATGTATTATAATTATTAATAATGGATCCATAAAATTGCTAAATAATATAATATATCAAATATAATTTTTTATAGAGTTAGTAATTTTAATTTATTTAAAATACAATCATAAAACTATTGATAAAATAAAATCATAAAATTGAATAAAAAAAATTAAAACAAAATATATACAGTGGAATATTATATGTCGTAAATTTACAGTATATATCTAATTTTACATCATATGACAATCAAATAATTTATACCAATATAGCGAATTATATATTTTATAGAAAACTATAAAATATTGATAAGGACATCAGAGAATATCTTTTAAAAACATTGTGGGATGAATAATATGGAGATTAATTTTTAATATCATTATTTATTTAAAAGCGTTAAATAATTTAATGCAATTATTGCTATATTTATTATCAAGAGCATCGATTAGTAAAGTTTGTTAAAGTAATAACTGTAATATCTTGTCTAACTGTCAAATATGTCGTAAAAGAAGAATTTTACCTAGTATTTTATAACAAATTCTATATAATAGAAGAATATCAACTATATGGCTACTTACTTTTTATAAATAAATTTCTTATACTTGTTTGGAATAAATTATTACCATGCTTTTATATTAACGTATAAACAAGTAATTTATTAAATTTTATATAGACGAATAAAAATATATTTCATATTTATTCCAGGCTTATTTTTTTATTAACCTCCTATCTTGTAAAAATATGTAATGACTATATAAAAACAAGGTGGCCGAAGGCCGGGTAAATGCGGGCCAAAGGCAGCCTTACAATGGGGTCTTGGGGCTTCGCTCCTTTAGGAAAATCCAGGCTACGCCTATTGTACAATTATATAAATGAATGATCTAATAAAAATTAGTAATAAAACAAACTAAAAATGTAAAAATCGCGAGGTTATCTAATCATATATATAAATATATATATCTTTTAATTATGAATAAACAATGAATATATTAAATCATACTTTATCAAAGAGTATTAAATTCTTTCTATATTTAACTAAAAAAAATATTTTATTTAAATAAATTAATGCTTTTGATATCAAAACATTTCTCTATTTATGCTTTTGATATCAAAACATTTCTCTTTTTTTGAGGTAGTGTGATATAATAACTTTTTTGTTCTATATATTATTACAATTATAATTTAATTATTCATATTAAAATAAATTACATTTTGCTTTTTTTTATTATAATGAATTATATTTTATTTGTCTCCTTTAACTAAAAAAAATGTTCCTTTTATATCTTTTTTAAACAATAAATAAATCATTAAATAACCAATTATATAAAATGAAAATGTTCGTTTAAATGAATTTAACTTGATATCAAAAAATATATCAATTGTCAAAATAAATTGATTTTAAAATATGTTAATACGAGAAAATAAAACGTTAATATGAAATAATCTCGATTACTTATTTTATATTCAACCCTCCAAAGAAATTCGACTTATTTTTCCTAGGATATGTTGAATGATAAACGTCATTGACATTCATGATCGCCACGCAATACGCCATCCATGTCATGGTGCAGTCTTCTTTTCAAACCGAACGATGGCTTGGTAAAGTAAAGGCAGCCCATAGCTAACTTCCCAATCGGATCGCTTGTGCATGGTATCGGGCATCTAGATTCCTCTCGAGCAAGGTTTACGTTGTCCTTTATGAAGCTATCCAATTTCTGAGTCGATGCATCGATCTTGGCACACTGAACTCTTCTTGTAGGTATGATCTTAGGGACGGCATTGGACTTCAAGTGAACTTTCTCTTGTCTGACCATTTTGGTTTTGTAGGAGTAAGTTGAATCGAGGTCTTTTTTTGTTGTCGAGATTACCTTCTCGAGATCATTCGTAATGTTACCGACTTAGAAAGTTTTTAATATATTGTTGAAGTCATGGAGCCACATACGCCCTAGCAGTGGGATCTTATCATAATCCACCACATGGCCTTCAGCGTTTGTGAGCCTTCAAACTATACTTTCACATTGACCAGATCTAATACATTAATGGTCCTTAATTCGTCAAAGTTTGCCCTTTTATCCTAACGCTTCGATATCTCCTAATTCTTCTTCCCAGGATAAAACTGCATCAACACCCCAAAAATATTCTATTGTATTTTATAAATTTTAAACTCTTCATCACATCACCACGCTACAAAATGTTTATGATTAACTTCTAAATTAATATTTTGGTTATTTGTATTGTCAATAGATAAGATAAAATCAATAGCGTAAATAGTTAAATGATACACATATAAATCCAACCCTTTTTAAAAAGCATAATAATCTTATTTTCGATTAGATGTGGTTAAATTACGTGTTTAAAAATTCTAATTCACGTATACAACGGTTTCTTCAATTACCTCTATTTGTGTGGGGGGGGGGGCAGCACTTCCGTGTAACAGGTCTATATGACAAAAATTTGGATAGTAAATCTGTGGAAAATGGGCAGCACTTCCGTGTAATTCGGCATTTGTTATATAAAATTAACGTGAAGGTATCTTACCGATTAGATGACTCTGGTTAGGCCTTAAAAAGAATCCTATTTGCGTTAATGCAAATCTGACTTTGCCTTTATATGAATCCTTCTATTTGCGCTAATGCAAATTTGCCCTTTTAGCTTTTATATGAATCCTTATATTTGCGCTAATGTAAATCTGCCCTTTTAGCCTTAATATAAATCCGCTACTTCAAATCTTATTTACAAAAGATAGTATTAGATCTGTCTTGGCTACCAGTATAAAAGCTACTCAATTTGGGTTCTTTTTTCTTAGTTTTTATTTACTTAATATAAATATATTTAAATGTTCTTACATTTAATCACTTTTTCTTTTACTTTTTCCTTTTTTTCTTCTTTATTTTGTTTTTTCATTATTCTGAAAATTGGCAGCCAAAAATAATAAATTTTGATTATAATTTCTAAAATAATATTTCGTTTTTTTCTCTTTTTATATCTACTATAAAATAAATATAAATTTATTAATAATATAATTAATATTGATTCCGCAAATAATCAAAAAAATATTTGTCACCAAAAATGAATGACTTCACAATTTAACATAAAAAACGACCCATTTAACAGTTATCGTTTCCTTTGCAGATATGCCTCTCATCAGAATCTACCCCTATCAATCAATATAGAGAGTCAGCAGATGCTGTAAAATCTAGATGTATACGCTCCCATGTCCCTTCAATATTTCCCATGAATATAAGAGTAACTCCATTACAATTAATAGATTTTTCTGACATCCAATGCACCTATTTATATAAAATACAATATCCTCATCGTATTTAGGCCACCGACAATACATCAGAAAAATTGATTTCATGCGTTTACCACAGGATGAACCGTATGTATATTCTCCAATATTGTATTCCTAAGTTTAGTTGGAATTATCATACCTTTCAGCTAGACTATTCCTCTGTCTACCGTTAATTATTCTCTCTGAGTATGGTAAATTTTGAGGTCCCTTCAGATCAAAACCTCCGGCCTGACACTCGCTTTAATATCGAATCTTGTAACTGGATTTATTTATCATTAGATGAAAGCACATTAATTTATTAATTATTATGCAGAAACAAAATGGTGCTACAAGTCATTTCTATGTATGGACACTTAAATGTATTTAACAAAAACGTCAATATAGTATATAAACATAAGTCGAAAAATAAGAACATATTATATGTCTTATTGAGTAAAATTATAAACCTTCGTAATTAGTTAGCCTATTATACTAATTTGACTCATGATTTTGAGCTTTATACAGAAGGAAGGTGCAGTAAATATTATGGTAAAGTTTACAAAATGATGTCTATAATTCGAGATAAGTTTCTTCTTTTGTGGGCAATCGAATTATATTATTTATTACATAGAGAAAACCTCATCCAGCGTCTACATGACAGGATTTTCACTGAATGCAAACCCTCTTCAAAAACCTTTGCCCACCCCCCTTAAAAATCGCCGCCTTCGGCGGCGGTGTCTCTTTATCATTATTTTTACCTATTTATTTATTGATACTCTTTTCAAAGAATTTATAAAGGATAACCTAAATTAATCTATATCTACTACCAACTATCTATATTTTGTGATTATAAATAATTTATTTTTTAGATAATAAATTCAATTAAAACCTCCATTATTTACAATTAATTAGTTATTATGGCATTATGAGCTTGCTAAAATATCTAAACCTTTTAAATTATATTAAAAAGGATAGTTTATCTGGAAAACAATGTGTATGATTGTTTGCAATATATAGATTTGGTCGATGAATTGTATTATAATAATACTATAATAAAAGTATAATTTTTACAGCAATAAATTTTGTCCTATTTCATCTCAAAATTTAATAGATAACCCCCCAAAAAATTTATCCTACCCCCAATACCTCCTCTCAAAAAAATAGGGATGCAAACTGTTCCTATCTCTCCCGCTCATATAGACGCTGACCTCACCTAAGAGATTGGGTTCAGAAGAAGAAACAACCAAGCTTAACTTAAAACTAGATCTTAGGGAAATCAAATTTTTTAAATTATTCTAATGACCTTTTTTAACCAACATTTTCAAAATAACCTTATTTTTAAACTAACATTTTCAATATGACTTTTTTATAACTAACATTAAAATTTTTGGGTGTAATAATAAAATTTATAGGGGCTCTTCAAATTTTCAGGAGATCGAGACCCCCCCCCCCTCTGACGTATTGTCTCCCGCTATTATGTGATAATTGCTCATAATCTCTTTATTTCATAAACAATTTGAAAAAAAGCTATTTTTAGTGTATAAAAATTCATTCCGTATTTTCATTAATATTTTCTGCATAATAAATAGTGCACAGCAGCTGTAAAATTATAGTTCGTAACTATGAATTAATGTTAAATATTCGCAAAAATGGCAAGTTTAAATAAATTTACTTAATAATTTGTTATGATATAAATTATTAATTTAATTTGATCAATATAATTATACAATAATTTTAATATTTATCATAGATCTAAAATTAAAGAAAAATTTTTTTTTTAAAAAAAATTGTATTTATTTATATGAAAAGCTTATAATTATCATATGTTGGATATAAATATTATTTTAGATCAATTGGAAAACAACAAAGTTATATTTGACCAGGATGATCAAATGCCACTTTGGAAAGATTATTATATGAATATCTTTGAATCTAAAAAAATTTAGAGGATATCATATGAGCAACAAACCACCTCCCAAACCTCCCAATTTACACTGAATTAAATTTCCACCGCTTAAAGAAACTCAAAAATAACAAAGCTCCTGGTCCGAATAATATCACAAGAGAACAATTAAAAGCAACATCGGATGCCACACTACTCTTCCTCCTTATTATCCTCAATAATATATGGTCTTAAGGGATGAATCCTAATGACTGAAATCTATCCACTCTTTGCAGCTTCCCAAAGACTTCTAACCCTACTAATTTCCGTGATTACAGGGCAATCGCATTTACTACGACTGCGTCCAAGATTTTTATGATTATACTCAAGACACGTATTCTACAAACGTTGCAAAATCTCTTTGCAAAATATATTTGTGCCTATCGTCCAGGTAAAAATATTATGAAGTCATTTCTCACCCTTAAAATTAATATTCAAAAATGTGATAGATACAAACTATTTCACTTTTATTGATTTTAAACGAGCGTTTGATAACGTCATTCATAATGCTCTCTGAGAAATTTATTAGAAGTTGGAATTGATACTAACATAAGGTTTTAAGGAATCACTATAACAATTTGCTCACCTCGTGTAGAATAAACAACAAAACCTCTCCACCTTTTAAGAAAGGAGTCAATCAGGGCTGTGTTCTCTTCACATCCTCTTCAACATAGTAATGAACAAATTTCTAAAATATACCTTAAATGCTGCGAATCTGCTAGAGCTTAACTCATTCCCAGATTATAGAAGCCATATTGAGAATATGATTATATCACAAGCGGATGATGTAATGATCATTACTTGGAAGAAACTCATAACCTCATCCACTTATTGAAATCTATAAGTCTAAAATATGGCCTAGATATAAATTTTAAGAAGACCATGATCCTCAGACACACTCTCCCACAATTGGATCGGAAGTGATTAAGGTAGTCACGCAAATAAAATATCTTGGAATCACCCGGAATAATACAGGATGTTGTAAGGAAGAACTAAAGATAAGAATACAAAAAGCTAGAATAGCATTCTACAAATATTTAAAGCTCTGGAAGACTGGGGAGATACCGGCCCTTACAAGATTATGGCTCTTCAATTCTACTGCAATCCCCATACTGTTATACGGCCTAAACATAGGAAATTAGTAAAACTGCTAATAAGAAATTCAGATATTTATCAACAAATGCAGGTTATAAATAGTGTGTTCTACCCCAAATTAATATCAAATGATAAACTGTGGAAAAAATCAAAGAAAAAACGTATCCAAGATCCCAACTCCAACTTAGCTTTCAGTGCTCTAACATGGCTCTTCACCTGCAAAGGAAAATCATATAGTAGATATCAGACTCAGGTTCCAACGAATTCTAAAAGATGTGGCAGACCTGAACTTAAATTGGAAACAATTCACCAAATTAAATAACCATAAAAAATCCATAAATAAGCTTCTTAGGGTTAAGATTAATTATCTGAAATCTTCTTTGCCACTCTACTACCTCCCCTTTTCAACTACTCAAATACCTTCAACAAGAATATAGGTTTCACTTTTTAATTATTTATCATATATTTGTACTTATACTTTTTAAACGTTAATTTCTACTTCTAGAAAGCCTTTCCCTGTCCCTTTTACTTTAAATACAATAGGGCTACAGGTATGGGTTTGCGCTGTTTATTCTGGTCCTCCCTATCTGAATAAGCTTACAGAAGTTTAAACAATAGTTCTCGGACTATTGTTCGCACAAGTACGTACTTACGACTTGCCCACAAACGTGTAAAGGGCTACTCATCTTTTTCCCTCTAAATTTTATATAAATTTAATTAGATGGAAATGAGAAATACCTAGCGTAGCTCTGTTGTATCTACAAAGTTGAGAGGGCGTATGCGCTTTTTCACGTATCACGTAATATTCAAATCATTGATTCAAATCAAATAACATTTAGCAAATACAAAGATGTCAGTCATATTTTTTTAAATTCTGACATTTTTTATTTATAATATGAATGTACAAATAGTTGAATATTTTATTTACATAAATTGCAACATTGCTGTTAAATTCCTTAATTTATCTAATCTTTATTAAACCATTAGTTTAAAACCGATAAAAACTTACTTTGGAATCATTTTCTATAGAGGTCATTCAATATTCTTGCGGAGTTCTTGAAGGATTATTTGATTATATTCTTATTTTGATGTAAATCAATATCTTTATGTCACCATTATATTGAATTATATGAAATGTACCAAATCTATATTTATCACATACTGATCCAAATCTCATGTCTATGTAAAATTTTAATCTGACATGTCATACCAGTGTCCTTATAGAGTTTTGTTTCTGGAAGGGGGTTAAGTTAAATAAATTATAAATAATAAACCCCATTTATAAGTTATTTTTTTAATTTTATGACCTCCCCTCCCCCACTAAATGTGCCATTGTAATATCTGTGTTAACATAAAATTTTAGGTGGGGGCATTATATTATTCTAAAAAAAATGATAGGGAGCAAGCTAAAATGGGCAAAAAATAAAGGCAAATTTTGGTTGGTTTCAACAATCTGAGAAAGATTTTAAATTTTTTATAACTAGCTTATATCGAAGCATTTCATATAAAATACATTCTATTTAGAGTAATTAAAAATTGAAATATATTGCAAAAAAATGACATATTTTTGGCATTTCATAATAATATAATTATTTTAATGTAATACATAATCAAAATAGATAAAAATTAAAAACTACAATATTTGCCATAGCAAATCTTTTTTTAAATATTAACTGCACTTGATTGTTTATTATTTGCAGACCTGTGACTTGTCAGCTATTTTTTAATATATGGAGATGAATACCACTGACTGAGAGGAGGCATGTTAATGTTTATCATCATGGAAATATGTTTTATCATAATTACAAACAAATTCATCTTATGAGATTCATAAGGTGATTTAGCAGTACTAGGGAATAGTGTTATTACCAGTTTGAAACTCTTTCAAATCATGGGGTTAATTTCATTATTATCATCAATATATACTATCATCTCATTTATTTTGAGATTTGATTAGAAACAAATTCATTTAGTCATAAGATTTTAGCCTATTTTTTGAGGGAAATTCAATATAAAATATTCCATAAGCCTGAGATCTCACACATGGCACAAAGACTTGGACATCTATTAGCCAAATCTCGAGGCTTAGTCAATATTTTTCTTGCTAAAATATTGAATTAACCATTTTTGAAAATAGACTTAATTTGAGCCATTTAACAACACTACTCATAACAAATGTGTGAGATTACTAGCCAGTTATTTTTCTAAATATTCCATATCAAATAAGATAGCTAACTAAAACTATAATTTAATATAATATCTTAATTACTAAAAATATCTGAATTAGCATCAACCTATTTTGGACATTCTTTTATTAAAGCAGTGATGAATTGATTTTTGTTGACACCAGAATGTCTTTTGTTTTCCTTTAGCGTAGCTTGGGATATTTTAATATGGGTAATTTAATGACAAATCAATTGAAATAACGTGATTTTTGGACAATCATTTTTAAAATGGATGAGTGGCATGAAGGTTAAATAGATTTTATATTTGATACAAATCAAAATTTTAATGCTCTAGCTCATATATATCTCGAGTTATGGATCTTCAAAGTTCGATGAATCTTTTCCTCTTTTAACGAATACTCAAAATATTTTTTGTCTAAAGTAATAAATTATATTTCATTTTGTAGCCCTCAAATTTCTCCTTAATAAAATGCAAGAATTATTTCAAAAATATTTTCAGTGTTAGTGTATTTTCGGTAAAACAAAAATTTTTTAAGAAGGACCTAATTTGAAATGAAGAAACTCACCAAATATGCTTATAACCAATATATTAAAAAAATTAAGCAGAAAATATTAATGGAAAAAATGATTTAAATTTTATTTTACTTTATTAAGAAAACACATATTGTAATGTATATAAAAAACTAGATTAAAAAAAATATATATGAAAATTCCAAAATCAAATCACATAAATTTGAATTAAAAATCAAATGTATATAATAAAAAATAATGAATATATGAACGTATAATCTATATTATAATGCGACAAAAGGAATATTCATAAAAAAAAATTAAAAATACCAATGAAGAACAGGGATGTTATAATGAGAGGAAAAAAAGGATTTAGGATGGCTCTTTGGATATTAGACTACCATTGAAGCTGATATAATTGGCTTTAAGGATTGCTATGGCAAGCCTTTGTTGAAGAAAAAAACCCTCTCGAGGTTCATTCAAATGTTTGCTGATTTGAGATCCTAAATTTTTGGAAAAAGCTAAAGCAAGTTTGCCGAAGGTGGCAAATATGGTTGAAATAATTGGAATGAAACAATGGTCATAGTAATTTCTGTGTATTTTGAGATTTTAAGCTGTTCTTTCAGGTCAATGATGCTGAGTGTCTGGTTAGATGGGGCAAGGGTGTCAATCAAGAAAAGTCCCATTCTAATAATTGGCCTCTCCTCCACGGAATTTGAGTGATGCCGTCTGGACATTTACCATCAGATCTGAAAAGACCCTGAGGTTCAAGTATCGATGGGATTTGTGCTGATTTCAAGGCGTGTTGGATGATTGAATTACATTGCTTGTGTCTAATGAATCCACCATTGCAGGAGCGACAATGTAAATTATGTCTTCCATTTGTGTCGACGGGCGAGTTACAGCCTGAACAGATGTGAGGGGGTGTTGAGCAATTTAGACTAATACCGATGGCGTGGGTAAGTTCGTTCTTCGAAAGTTGAAATTGAAGATTGATAGAAGGAATGGCCTCGAGAAACTCGTGTCCAGTACCATTGAGCAGGTAAGAGAATAGGGTGCGGTCAGTTAATTGCATGCTAGATAAGAGAGTTTCAACGCTGCGAGCAACTACCGGAGCATCCCAGTCCTTCTGTCTATGGGTTGTGGGAGGATGAGAATCAACATTGATTCGAGTTTTCCAAGTGTTTATGGCCTCAATTAAGGAAAGATCTTCTTTGGAATGATGGGCGTTTGTTGTTTGCTTTGACAAGAGACTACTAGATATGAAAGAGGTTATTGCTAGATCATAAGAAGATCTAATGCCAAGTCCACCGGATTTTGTGGGGAGCGAAGCTTGCGCCCAAGCGAATTCGTTGAATCTTAGATTTATTATTTTTCGGTTAGGTCTTTTATTCCGTTTTCCTATGTTTTTAATGGAGGATATTTAAATATGGGTGTTGTGCGAAGTGCATAAATAATCCTTGGTATGAAAAAGAAATTTTTTAGTAAGAAAAAAGACTTGTGTGAGGGAAGATGAGTAAAGATGTCCTCAAGTTTAAGGATGGGTGGAATGAAGGAAGGTACAAATTGCCTTATGTCCTCCTACGGGAGATCTTAAATGTGTTAATTCATCAATAACAGTGAATTTGTAATTATGTGAGTTTGGAGCGTTTGAATTTAATTGGATGAATTCGGATTTGCTCGGGTTAAGAGAGAGTCCAATGGCAGTTCACATTTCATGAATTATGTTGACTGCTTTGTCAATTTCACTGTGGGAGCCACTTAAGATTCCGTCATCTATGTACCAACCATGAAGCGATAAAGTACAAGAAGAAGAGATCCAAGGGGATCTCCTTGTTGAATACCCACAACTGAAAGTATTTTTTCCGTGTTGAATTGTAGAATTGTAGGGGATTGGTAACAATAGAAAAGAAATTTGGTGTAAGCGGGGAAATAGGAACAAGTGGAATGTAAGAAGGTGTTGCGGAAAAGAGTGTTGTATGCGTTGGAAAAGTCGATTTTCACTAAAGCTTCGTCATTTGGGTTATTTTCAAGATGAAAAGTGTACTGCAGCTTCACATCCACCGGGTACGCCAACACCCAATTGAAAAGGGTTGAGGATGTGTGATGCTTCGTTTTTGATTCTTGTGGAAATTAATTTTGCTACCAATCTTCGATAAGTTGAACCAATGGAGATGGGTCGGATGTCCTTGTTGGGTTTTTGGAGTGCGATGAGTCTTGCTCCAAAGAGCAAGGGGGTTATAAAGCTTGGTATATTTCCTTTTAAAATTTTATTGCATAAGTTGGTAATTTTGGTGAGAATTGAAACATGAGTGCAAATCATGGGAGTGGTTATGTCCTATAAGAAAATTGGTCTAATTCCGTCAAGTCCATGCGCTGAGTCGCGATGAAATAATAGGATTGCTTTCCTTACTTCTTCTTTTGTGAAGTCTGCTGCACAATGCGTGTAAGGCTGTGTTATTATTGGGTTAAGAGTCGAAGTCGGAGGTTTTGAGCGTATCTTGCTTAAGGTTTCTTCTGAGAAATCAGCAAGGGTATCATTGGTCGAAATGAGTTTGAGAGCCCCTTTGATGTTAAGACTTTTGATTTTCTTCGAGATCAATGAAGCTTTTTGCTGGAGTGGAGTTACTTTTTTTGTTTTGTTTTTTTTGGGTATAGATTTGGATATCTTGAAGACGGCTAAGGATATTTAAACTGGCGTCCTTTATTTGTTGAGTTATGAATTTCTAGACATATTTGTCAGGTATTTTAAAATTGTAACCGAATTATAAGAATTTTAACCATTCTTCTTCATTGTCAAAATTTTGCAGGAGAGAGGATATGCAGTCACTGAGAGATTTGGCTACTTGTAATCTCGCTCCTTTGGGTATTCTAGATATGATATTTGGTTTTGTAGTATTGAGAAAGTGGTATTAGAGGAGCGGTTTTAAGGTGGTTCCGTGAATGAGTTGGGAAGTGAGTAAGCCATATGAGAGAGAGAAGTAAGTCTAGAATGAGGACACCTGTTGGAAATTGGTCCATGAACATAAAAAACACCTTCATTTGTTAAATGTATAAGTTTCCGGCAATTAGGACATATTTTGGGTTCAAATGAGGTAGCCATTTTTATAAAATCTGGATACGCAGTAAGAAATCACATGATCTGCGCGTCGAATAATAAAAATGTGGCGTTGAGTTCGATGGAGGTGGCCATATCTTATAGAAATATTAATGGTTATTCAAAATTTAAAATGCATATTCTTATTTAAAAAATACATTATAATTACCTTTAAATATAGCGCCCTCTATTATTTATTTATTTCTAAAATAATTAAATAAAATTTAAATTCTTATTTTTTTTCATTAATATTTTTACTTTATAATATATTAATAATAAACACATTTCATCCATCGTTTTAAATGGAACATTTTTCAAAATAATCATTTTTTTTACTGGGAATACAACAAAGACTGGTGATATTTTAAAGATATTTTTTTATTTTATAAAGGAGAATTTTAAGGGCTACAAAAAGATATATAATTTGTTACTCTAGACAAAAAATATTTAGAGATTCGCTAAAAGAGGAAAAGGCTCTCATCGAACTTTGAAGGCCCATAATCGGAATATATTTGTAGTAGAGCATTGAAATAATTGGCTTATTGTTCTATTTCAACTTTTTTGTAAATTTACAGGAGTGCAATTTTAAAAATTAAGTGTCTTCGATATGATTATAATTATAAAAAAATGATTTATGTAAAAAAGTCATTTTTTGATAAAAAGTGGATATGAAATAACCTAATTCTCAGGGGAGAATTAATAAATAAACATTAATTTAGAAATTATTAAAGAGATTTAGAACCAACATTAAACTCATTGTTCTTGTCTGAAGCCTTAAAGACAGATTGGATTAATCATGGAACATCATCATAACTGGTTGGACAGCCTTTTAAATTTTGCAATGTTGCTAGAATTTACTGAATTTTTTAAATTGGTATACATGGCCTCATTTATTCCAAATAACATATAAGAAAATTCAGTAAAGTATGAACTATCCCCTCTGCATCTTTCGAATACAATATTAGGTCTAGAAATTTAAAAATAGGATCATCATAAAAAAGCATTAATGCCAATTTTATGTAAATAACCAAGACCGGTTTTTGACAACGTAGTATATTCATCACGGGTATAGTAATTTTCGATTGTAAATTGTAATATTATTTTACAATTTTTATTTGTGTTCCCATATCTCAACCGCTGTGATTTTGTGAATCTATTAATGATTCGAAATCTACAAACATGTGATGATTTTGCTAGATAATATGCAGTTCTCAATATTATTGTAATATTTTTCATTTTTATAACACACCTATTAAAATCTGATGCAATAATACTTCTCTTTTAATATTTGATATATTTTTTTTAAGACCAATTAAAATAGGTAACGGCTCGTTTTTGAAATTAAAAATGTTTATGATGATAAAAAATATTAATAATAGGCTAAAATATAATTATAGAAAAATATTCGAATTTATTTTGTAAGAGGTACGCCTTGTCCACAACTTTTTTTAAAATTTCTGGCGGAAGCTCGCTAAATTTTTTTTAAACACTTTTTGCCAATTTAATTTATATATCCAAGCATGCCAAACTAATTTGACGATTTTATGTCCAATAAAATAGTCTTTTTCTAATTCAATGTTCATATTATACATTATACAAATAGAGGAAATTTCATTTTAAATAAAATCTTTAAAAAAATATTTTTTAACCACTAAATTTAATTAACCAAAATGGTTACTAATTTGAATATTAATAAGGTATCTTGAATATATACATTTGATAATAAGCGATGAGAAAATTCATAGCTATTTTTTGAGCTAGGACATACTTAATATTAAATCAAAAATATAAAGATATAGGATTGAATTCTAATACTCTGAAGCAAATGGTTCATAAATCCCGAAAAATATAGATTTTGAGAGAATACTTTAAAAAGAGGACCTTTACATAACATTACAGTATAGAAAAGGTTGGTATAGTGGTGGGTATTTATTCATTTTGCAAGGATAATTAAAATAATAAAGAACAACTGCTTGAGTACTTAAAATCCAGTACAGGTATGGCTGGATTCTGCCATATCTCTCTTTTTAGATTTTTTCTTAAAATAGAATTTCTTGACAAATATTCAGAAAATTAATAAGGAATTGAAGGGAAAATATGAAAAAAAGGATACGAAAAAATGATTACAAAAAGTTTCTTCAAAACTTATTATATCTTTATTCTTTCTATAATTTGTAAAATGTATATTTTTTTTATATTTTTTTTAAATTTAGATGAAAGGAAGTGCAATTACCAATAATATGTAAAAATAGTAGCATATTTAAAAAACCTTTCATCAATTCTCAATCCGAATGTGCCTTTTTATTAAAATTCCATCCTTTAACTTATCTGTCTGTAAACCTAAAAATATTCGCAAAATAATATAATAATCAATTATATCGTTTTTTATTATTTATATTTTAAAATAATTTATTGATTTTAAAATAGTTTTTTAATTGGGGATTAAATACTTTATAAATTTTATTTAACTTAAATTCACAATTATCAAAAAAAACACACAATTATTTCAGGAATAATTATAAAAATTTTTTTTAAAGAAATGTGCCTTTTTAGACAGAAAATTAAATTTAATTCTATTATTCTCAGTGACGGATCGAAAACTTTTTAAAAGCACCTGCCATTCCAATCATAAATGATAATGATATATGTGGTTGTAACATCATAGAACATATTATTCCAAAAAAAATCTTGACGATAAAACCCCAAATTCTTCGTTAAGTGTCCGAAAAAAGGAGAATAATAATGGCGTTGATCAGCATGAATTTCGACAAACCCTGCACCAATCATATACCTACCGTGGTACAGGTTTTCGAAGGTTCGCACTTTTTATTTATTTATTTGAGAATTCAATAAATTTTAGCATAAAATGGAGGTTTTTTTATATAAAAAAAAGATGGAAGGGCACTGGATCAGAAAATTAAAATGTTTGTCTAAGGAACGAGGAAAATATAAAAAAAAATTAGATCTTCAAATATATTTTAAAATATAACTTCAAATTTAAACCATTTAAATGTAATTTGATATGATTTGTATTTTTTTAAAAATATTTAGCAGATTTTTTTTAAACATTATTTAATAATTTTGGCTTCGCATCTGTTTAAACGTTAAAACTTTTTATGTCGGAAAAAAAATTCACTACAAAAAATTGACTGAACTATCGATATTTTATAAATTTTTTATATTATCTTTGGCATTGAATAAATGTAAATTCTTTTGTAAACCAACTTTATTTATATGCGCAAAGCTTTGTTTGAAAAAAAAAACTATGAAAGCTCGATCTATAATTTTGCGTTCTTATTAATCCTTATCTGCACCGGCGAATTTTTAAAAAAAATATTGTCTTGCCAAGGTCTGATACCCGATACCAATCTTTTTTATTTGTCCCGTAAAGCCCGACCCGAAATAATAATTTGTACGCCCGGTACGGCCCGAATTTATTTATAAAATTTTGATAGTCAAAGAAAAATATTCTACAAATAAAATATATTAGAACCTTCTTTCTTGCAAGAATTTTAATACATCAATTTATTTGACAAAATATGATATCATATCTTAAAAATTTAAACCTGACCCGGCCTGAAATTTTTAAAAAAATGTTAGGCCCGACCTGGCTCGGTTGTTCTTTGGGGAAATGAAGAAGCCTTAGATTAGAAATATTAGCTATTATAGCCCCTTCTTATCTAAATTTAATATAAAACCTCCTTATAAAAATTATACTCGAAAACTGCTAAAATCTGTTTTAAAAAAATATATAAATAAATATGTTACCCAATACCCACAATAAATTTCCTAATTTTTATATTAGGGGGAGGGGAAGGGGTGTATATATTATTTATATTGAATTTATAATAATTTTTTTTGTAGTAGTTATAGTTATAACTATATTTGGTTAATGGCTAAATGTCGGTTAATTCGGTTCAATCTTTAGGCGCCTGCGGAGAAAATCCCTATCAAGGCGTTTTAATTTATATTAGTTTCTCCAAATTCGAGCTGCTATCTTTTTTTTAAAAAAACATTAAGGCCAATAGTTTTCGGCTAAAAACTTGTTTAGAATATTTACCGGCTAAACATTCGGCTAAAAAATATAGTAATTACCCAACTATAGTTATAACTCAAAATGAATGACTTAATTGGATTATTTATTTATTCAGCTGTAATAATTATAATCAAAAAATTAATTTGTTTTTAAATAATTTATTTGCTTTTTTAAAATGTAGGATGAATAATAATCTGGAGGTTTGTATGCCCCATTTAAAAATAAATCATATAATCAATGCTTTCGTTACCATTGTTTGGCATCTAGTAATGTAAACATTTTTATCGATTTTTGAGGCCATATTTCACTATTTTAAAATAATAAATACTTACCATCAGTCTATGTGCTAGTCGCCATATGACAACCCATACCACCAATTTCTTTATTGGTTTATTCTAGAAGTCTAACACTAGTAGAGTTGGCAAAGGTCATGTTTTTTTACTATAAAAAAATCAAAAGTATTCTAAACCTTAAATTCGATGCAATAGCTTGGACACAATTTTCTTTACCCACCACTTGGTATCAGATCTCCTTCCGATCTTGCATTAACTGCCCTCATATCGTTTTTTAACAAAAAATATAGTAAATTCTCATTTGATAAAACTCGACCTTTCCTTTAATGGTGCTATTATCGAATGGAAATCACGAATTGTCACTCACCCACTCCAGAAACGAATAAGCAAAAGGACTGGGATGGGCCTATAATTGCAAGCTGCGTTGAATCACTCCTTTCCAGAATGCAATTATCTAACTGTTCTTCATTCTCCTCTCTCCTTAATGGTTCTGGCCAGAGTTCTCTGAAGTCATTCCCTCAATTAATTTACAGTTACAACCAAAATAAGCTCACTCACGCTACTGGTATTCGTTTAAACTGCCTAATATCCTAACTCCACCTATTTAGGTTGCAGTACTGCCGTTTTGGGTAATGGAAGACATAGTCTTGTCGTTCGTATAAAGGTCGTATCGTTAGACATAATTTATGCAATTCGATTATCCTTAGAGCTTTGAGATCAATTCAAATTCCTTTTATTTTTGAACCTTCTGGTCATTTCAGATCCTATGGGAAACGACCTAATGGAATTTCTCAAAAGCGCGATCAATTCTTGGTCTGGAATTATTCTTGTACTGATCCGTTGGCTCCATCCAATCAAACTCTTAACATTCTGGAGAAAGGGGAGTTAATTAAAGTTGCAAAATATTCTGAATTATCACAAGAATACATATTCATTCCCATTATTTCCACAACCTTAACAACTGTTGGGAATTGTGCATTATCCTTTTTCAAGGAACTTGCCTCGCCGATTCTCAAACTTACGGATGAACCTCACGAATTCTTCTTCTTAAGACACATAGCGATTCACGGAGCTAATTACATTAGCTTTATAGGTAGCCTCATCCCACAAGATGATTAGTTTTAACACTAATATTTTTTGTGCACGTTCCCCCCACCCTTTTTTATAACAAATTAATTGAAAAATGAAAATTTATATATTTTGATGCTAGTTATTGATTATAAATTTTTTTTATGTAAAACTAAAATTAATGTAATAAAAATAAATATTATTTGTTCAAAAAAAATAATTAAATAAATAAATTAAATTGGAAAATATTGAATAGGGAAAAATATCTCATAATGCAAAGTTATTAAATGTAGCATGCATTCATTTTATTACACTGCATCTCTCTTCCTGTAAAATTTGTGATTAAACCATTGTGATATTAGCAATATTGAATTGACTATTACTAGTATTTTATCATAATTATTAATTCTTCATAGGCGTAGCGAAGGGGTGAGGGTGTCTGTTTTCGTAACTGAACTCAAATTATGGATAAATAATGGTCGCATTCTAAGTTAATAAAAAAGACAAGGCTACAGATTTTTTCAAATAAATTTTGGCCCCGCCCTGTACTTTTATTTTTTGGTATTTATTAAACCCCTACTTGGATTTTTTTTAGGCCAGGTTTGTGGCCGAGTCTGCAGGTCTTTTTAAGTAATTTTTTAAATTAATGATACTTTAATATTAAAAGTTTCAGAAAATAAAGCATTTAAAACTTATTTTTTTTAAAAAAAATGTGTCAGCCAAAGGCCTGCAAGCTAACTTAAAGATCTACAATAAAATTTATGAAGGGATGACTCACCTAATAGTGCTTTCCCTCATTTTTAGCCCCCTGGCTACGTCTATGACATACCTATACTGAGTGTATTTAATTTTAAACTATTTTTATAATCTTGACAATGTTTGATTATTCTTAATTTTAAATTAATATTTTACATAAATAAGCTTGAATTAATATTTATAAACTGTATTTGAAATAATCTTAGCTTAGGCTTAATTTATAGTAAAACGCATTATGTTCAATATATAATACAATCGAAATCACAGCTAATTCTTCAAAGCTTTAACAAATGATATTGATCGTTAATATTTTTTGAACGCAGGTATCTCCTTTAATTTATCAATATTAAAAATTATTTATTAGAATAGTTTATACTAAAAATATAATTTCAGGATTAACGCATGCGCAACATACAAAACCATTTATAATAAATAAATTTAGCTATTTTGTAAATTGTTTTATTTATTTATAAACGAAACTATAAATAATTATTATAACAAAAAAAGATTGATTTAAAAGGGATAGGTTCTAAATCTCGAAAAATGTGGAAATCTCTCTTATATCTCCTAAAAAAAATTTTTGTAAATTTGAAATTAATATTAATAGATGCTAGGGACTTAATTTGATTTAATAGGGCCAACCCCTCCACACTAATGTTCGAAAGATCTTTTAGGAATTTTAGAAAGCAGCGAACTTGAAGGGACTATTTTTCTCTGTTTCTTCATTATTTTCTTATACTGGTTTTTTTTCCTGCTATTTCTCTCTCTTCCTAAAAATTCAAATTTAATTTTTAATATCATATAAAAGTAAAAGTATTTTGAAATACTATTCCTTTTAAAAATATAAGAAAAAAAAAATTATTCAATGAATAAATTAATGGAATCCCTGGTTTAAAAGTATATTTTAAAAAAATCTTAACAAATCGGTTAATGTTTTATACTTATTTCTTCGTTTCAATTCAATAGATAAAAAGTAAGAATGAAAGAAGTAATTTATTCCACGATGCCGTGATATCAAAGAATCTAATGAATTTAAATATTTTGGTTTTTTTTTCGTCCTTTGAAAGAAGAAGAGGTAAAAATACAGATTGCGAATCACCTAATATTTTATTATATAAAGAGATTCGTCGAAGTCGGCCTTGGCTCTTTCCCATTTTTATAATGGCTTGTTCCCAATTAATCCCCCGCATCAAATGTAATGGTGTATTATAAACGGTTGGTTTAACTTATGTTTAAAAAAAACGCGAATATAGAAAAATGGAGTGTTACTTTATATTATAATGATTTAACTTTCTCCCATTAGACTCTTTAAAATATTTTTTTTATTAGTATATTTGTGGAAATTTGGGCCTGTTTTTATGGTAAATATTTTTGCCCACCCGTAAAATAATATTGTACTCAGTACCGACGTTTTTTTTTCATTATTCCGCAGCATGTGGCGCGTTTCGGAAAATACATATTCTTCACTGCTCTATTCCGAATCTTTTCTGGTAAATAACCAAACTTTGGAGGGATCTTTTTGATTTTTGTTTTAAAGATGCCTCTACCTCGGATATATTTACGCTTAATACTGAGTCAATCAACTTATTCACCCAAGTCAGCCGACATTTTTGCCAATTTTCTTATGCCGACTGGCACCCTCCCCCTTTAATTATGCTGCAGCGTAAAGCTGTCTTCTTGTCACTAATCTTAGAACATTCGGGTTCACTTTGATGAAAGGTGATAAATCCTTTTTTATCTTAAACTTTATATAAACCACGCATGCGTAAAAGATTCTCAAGTTTGTTGCTCATGAATTATAACGGGAAAAGTACTCCTTTCTGGCAAATAGAGCATTCCACTCGCTAACCCATCAAATAACTCGTCTTTGTAAATCAAAAACTACTTCTAAAGATGCCGATAGCCCTTATTTTCATTAAATTAACTATATTTTTTCGTAATTGAGAAATTGGGAATATAATGAAGACACAATTAGATATAATCGGTAATGTGTGTAATGTAATATCCAAACATTTCAAATTTATTTTGATTTATATATTTTTTTTTAAATATAAAATAGGAAAATTGAATTTAGTGTCTAATGTAATATCCAAATGTTGATTTTATTATATTTTTAAAAAAAAATATAAATAGGAAATGAGATTTAAAATTTCCTTAATGGTAGGCAATGTGGTGTTTATCAAATAAATTTTAAATTTATTTTTGGCTTCATACAGATTACAAATCTATTTAATATATAATAAATAATTCATATATGTATAGATAAAAGAAAACTCAGTATTGTATTATAAAATTTAAAATTAAGGAAGAAGGAAAGGATAAAAAGAAATTGAAAGGAGAGGAAAAGTAAAAGTAAAAGCAGGAAAATAATTATTTCGCTATTTATTTCTTATCAGCCATGACCCCTCTTGGATACATTTTCCTGTCAATCGCGACTTTGCTCTCCATACTCACTTTCCTCATTTTCATGGATGAGTTATATTACATCCACGCGAAAGTGCCTTACAAGAGCCACAAAGAACGCCTCTATTGGCTCATAGGAATTTTTCCGGTATAATCATTATTGTATATTTATTTACTCTATTTAAGGTGCTTTCATATAAAAAAAAATAACTAAAATAAAGGCGATAGAAGATAATGGCACTTAATTTAATTTTGAACACTGGTCAAGGTTAAAATTATTTTGTTACTTTACTTAAATTTATCTATTTTCTAATTTAAAAAGATAAAGGGTACTTCAAAATTCAAAAAAAATGAGAAAGGAAGATAATATTGTTTAACAGTTTCCAGATATCGATAGTGGTTTAGATAAATCGTATCTTCTTCTTTTTTTTTGACAATTAAGAAGATGCGTATAGTAAAAGTATTATTTATAAAAAACAATTCTTTTTTTTTGTATGAAAAGGGGTAAATAAATGCATTTTTATTTGGCATCTATTGTTTTGTTATTAAAACAGTTTATTTGTGAGGAGGAAGTGTGGTTAGTCTATGTGTGTTGAATGAGGGAGGGCCATAGTTTTTTAAATCCTCTAAAGCAAATGACTCTAAAGGCCAATTGATGACCAAAATGATTAAAAAATTCATTTGTAAAATGGATACATGGGTACCTTATTTTTCTTTGAGATTTCAATGACGGAATTGATTCGTACCAGCCACGTGTTAGGGTCCGACGGAATTTCTTGATCAATATTTGTTAACATTATTGAAGTCATTTTTGCAACCATTCATTTATTTAAATATATGAGCGCTGTATGATGTGAATATTCTTAATATTTTATAATTAGGATTAGTGATCTGCAGTCGGGCCTAATTTTTCAAGCCCGGCCCGAAATTTTTTTTAGAAAACTTTTGCCGGACCGGCCCGAATCCGAATTTTTTTTAAAAAAAATTTACCGACCCGGCCCGGTCCGAATTTATTTAAATATAGAAATTCATTTTTATAATTACTTAAAATAAAAGACATATGTTATATGTCGTTTAGTTTTAATAATAAAATCAAATATTTTTATTTTACATAAAAAATTTAATATAAAATTGATAAATTTAGATATATTTAAAAAAAAATTCCAAAATCCGACCCGACCTGGCCCGAATATTTTTTAAAAATATTAGGCCCAACCCGGCCCAAACCCGATTATTTTAATTTGCAGATCTCTAATTAGGATAATAAACTTTAATAAAAGTCTTAAAGTAACTAAATCTCCATCTAATTTGAATAATAAGATATTCGTATATGAATAACGAATAATTTTTGAAAGATATGGTCCAACTCCTAAGAGTTTGTTATATGCGTAAGTTCATTTTGCGTAATAATTCAGATTTTATCAACAACAAAAATAAACCTAAATTTTTCAAAAACTTGCCCGATTCGGGTTTATGACAATTATTTTAATTTGATCTTTTATCACGGTTATAATCAACGAAATAGTAAATAATTTAAATGTAAAAAAATTTGATTGAATTTTGTAACCCGAACCCTTCTGCACATTTCGCTCGTCCCGCTTTGAATCGAATCGAGTTCAAAATTTTGTTCTAATTCCGCGAAAAAATTTCTAGTTACGAAACCCTGATTTTTTTTTCTAATATTTTTTATTTACTTTAGGTATTTTCCTTGACTTCTTTACTCGGCATATACGTACCCCGATCGGGCGTTTTGGTAGATTTTGTGGCTTCCGTGTAAATAAATTATATATAATATTTTATATTTTAGTATAATAATATAATATTTTATTTTTCTCATCGGGCTGCGCTTGATACATCTTGTGGGTTAGCTTGGCTTGTTTAACATGCCTCTTACATCTTTATCAGAATTTGAAAAAAAAATCTAATCTTTGCATCCTGAAAAGATTTTTTTATGCACGAAAATTAACAAAAGATTCGCTTATAAAAGATTTTGTTTCTTCATTTTTTTTATTATTTCCATTATCTAAAAAAATCACTTTTTTTTAAAATAAATTTTTTAAAAATATCTGATTTTTTTTAATATGATTTTTTATAAATTATATTTGTGCCTAGAAAAATAGACGCTTACAAAAATATAGGTTTCATTTTATCTCCCCTATCTTACAATTTATTTTAGTTTTAGGAAATTTTTAAATAAAAGTCGCTGTCACTATCACAATATAAAATAATAATATTAGATTACAGTAGGTTTTTTAAAATTAATATTGAATTTAACGATGAATCGAATAATACGAAAATCAGTCTATTTTCGTATCGATTTTTGCCGATTCGATTATGAACAAATTTTAAATCGTTCGATTCTAGCCTATTTAAAATAATTCCAAGATTTTTATGCATGTTAGCTGCCAATCTGGTGACAATTCTGAGATATAAATTTATGACCATGTCATTTTAATATCGGCAAAATTATAGGTGACTTAATCAAAGTTAAACTTTTTCGCAATTATTTTTTTTAAAACCTCACTACCTATTCTAAAAATTCATTGGAAACTAGAGAGGGGATTTTTTTTGAAGATAATTATTTCCTGAATATTGGAAATTTAATTTTTCCTTTAACAATTTTCATATTTTTCATTTTTTTTGGTATCAAATAACCGTATTTTTATGACCGAAATAATTTCGAATTATTTGTCCTTATTTTGTAGGAATTTTTTTTATAAATAAGTGTTAGTTAACTTCCTTTACTATAATGCTCAATTATAAATGTCATGATTTTAATTGATTTAGGAAATTATTTTATATATAAAAGTATATTATAAATATTATATAAGTTTTGGAAGTATATGATTAATCAATAAATAAAAAAACGTTTTTTTGCTTTCTCCTTTGAAAGAAAGAAAGTATTTTAAATAGATCATTCATTCACATTTAAATTCTTCATATACCCCCCCCCCCCCCATTTTCAACTAGATATTTGTCCATCGCTCTTTTCCAATTTTTTCAGTTAATAGTCGAATATTTTGGCGGGAAATCCTGTATGCTTGAAATATTATCAGACGTTCCATTGCCGCTCAATAGCCCTCCTTTGGCTTGTTGTTGTCCGTGCCTTCCAAAAGTGCCTTTAGTTAAGTTTAAAAAAAGATATAATATCAGAAATATATTTTAAATTTATCGATTTGAGATTCCCAATTAACGATAACCCTCTTATCTAAAAAATTACGAAAAAAATTGAGAAATTTTCAATAATAAATTATTGCTCTATCTACAAATTTTCATATATAAATAAATCAAGTAGATACAAGAACACTATAATAATTATTTAGCCTATTAAAAAAAATTTTATTTTTATACTTTTCTCTCCATTCGAATTCGTTGGACAGAAAAAATTATAATCGCCTCAAAGCTGCCGTGTTCCAAACAGCCCTGGTTCGTCCTATCCTCATTTTTATAGCTTCCGTTTTGTGGACAGATGGTAGTTATACTCCCGGACAGGTTTTATTTTATAATAAAGCTTTCGTTTATATTTTATAAGTAAACACTTTTTAAATTAAATTGTATATATTTTTTTACCCTATAATTCTTATGACTCATTTCAATGATCATTTGTTCCTCCATTCCTTTAGCACCTTCATCCATCCTTTAAAAGAAATTTTTCTTAATTTATCTCATTTTTATTGTAATTCTCTAGAAAAGATGTAACTAGTAACTTTAGTAAACAAGTTACTTTTCAAAAGTAACTTTTTAACTGCATTTTTTTTATTTTTAATTTTTTTAAAGAATTATTTTATAATATAAAAAAATATATATATAAAATATAACTAAATATGGTAGCCTGCTAAAGTAAATAAATAAGTTTATCCCTTAACAAAAAAAAAATTGGGTCTAAAAATTTTGATTTTTTTTGTCAATTTCTGAATTAGGTAATAAATAAAACTTTTTTTTTTCTATTTTGGCCTCTCAAATTTTTTAATCTTGGGGTTATGGAATAGTTACTAGCCAACTCTATAAAGTTATAATTTATTTTATTTTTGTTATTATCATTGGTAAACGAAACACATAATAAAACGAAGAAAATAGAACCTATAACTTTAAAAAATAACTTTTGCCGTAATTTTTTTTTTAGATTTCTTATTTCAATTTCTCTACCCTCGCCCTTTAAATAAATTATGAGTAAATATTGTTTATATTTATATGTAAAGATTTCACTGGCTAACGCTTACTTATACCTGACTATAATGACCACCATTAGCACGTTGATAGGTATGTATGGCTTGGTCATTGTATTTCGTATCTCCAGACAACACCTAAAGCAGCACCATCTGGCGGCTAAATTTATCAGTATCCAACTAGTGCTAATATTTAGCAACCTTCAAGGGTCCGTTTTAGAACTTCTAACGACCAAAAATATTCTACAATGCGTGGCACCTTTCAGTAGCAAGACTAGAGGATTAGGTTTTTTGTTTTATATTGAGTTAATAAATGGAATAAATAAAAAATGGATGAAATGAATAAATGATCACAAAGCAAGTGCCCGAAAAGTTAACCGAACCTTTTAATTAAATTAAACTCGTGCTTTTAAAAATAAATGGTAATTTATGACCTTTTTCTTTCCAATTGAGGCGCTTCTCCTTTCCTTGGAGAGTTAATAAAGGCTAATTTTTGGATGATATGCGTTTGAAAGTTAATATGGAAAACACGAATTTTTGAAATTTATTTTAATGCCCGATTTACTATATACAAAAAAAATCATTTTTTGAATGGCAGTCGGGGCTAAAATGATTAGAGACCTAGACTGAGTCAAAAGGCATATATAAAAATTATGTAGAGAAAAGCTTAACAAACTATTTTAAAAAAACCATTCTCTTGAACGTGGTTAGAATAAGGTAAATTAGAGATGTGAGGTAGGGTTTGGGTTATTATATTTATCTTAAAAGATGAATTGTTTAACAAATTTCTATAGGTTTTTTTCTTATAACCCAGTCAAATAAATATTCATTGAACCTTTTTGTGATTATTTTTTCGAATTTTCTTGAAAAAGTTTCAAAAACTCCATGAGCAATAATATTTGTGAACCCATAACCGAACCATAAACCTTTGTACATATTAGTTAAGGTCCCAGCTAAAAATATTCCATTCAGTTGATTCCGCAAATTATAAGGGACTATTTAAATTTTATTTCCAGCATGTAAAATTTGAAGTTTTAAATGAGATAGAAATTCATTCTCACTCCAAATTTAATCAATAATTATTAAGATCAAGTATTAAGGATAACAAATTAATTTATATTTAATAATCATTATAAAATAAAATAAAGAAAGCTATGAAAGTAAATAAAATATAAAGTAAAAATTACAAAACTTTTCTTATTCTTTATTATTACATTTTCGATCTTACTATTTATAATAACTTTAAACACAATTTACATATTATCGATAATAATCATAATTGTCATTTAGTATGATTACAATCTAAACCTTTCAATTAACCTATTGATATTCAAATTTATTGTTTTCCAATTATACAATAGCTTTTCTTTTCTTTCAATATTAGCCAAATAAATTTCTCACATTTCTTTACATTCATATATCTACAGAACTCCACCATCTTCTACTGGTAATGGAATCCTTTATATTGGGCGTTCTCTTGCATCATTATTACAGAAAAGAAGCTTTACATAAGTTAGCTAATTTGAAAAAATATATAATTTAATAAAATTAATGTTTTATTTTCTTACAACGGTGAAATAATATATATCTGACTAGATCGTTTAAATTAATGCATTAAAAGAAATGTTCACTATAATTTTATTATTTATGATTTTGTTTAAGCTTTACTCCTTTTTTTAAAAAGCCTTTTAACCTAATGATAATTTTATTCATATTCGACAAAAATATATTTAAAACACTGGTTGAAGAATATCAAATTTTCAGTTATAAATTTTTTTTTCTCTTAAACCAGCTTTTATTATGCATTGAGTAGGTTTTATAATCTTTTGAAAAAATAATAAGCTCGCTATTAAGCATAACCATTAGATTTGGGTAACTGTAACTAGTTATTAACCTTAGCCTAAAATAGTAAGCGTCATAAAATCCACGCTACTATATTCGACTTATTAATAAAAAATGCGGGAGATTTTTAACCACCACATTATTCTCTACATTTAAGAATGCCATCAGATAACTAATTTTATGTTTTAAAAATTGTAATATTAAATTGATCGACGTGGAGGATAACCCTCTAATAATCAAGAAGCGAAAATTTAGCTAAGCTTAAAGAACGAACTAAAAAATATGAACCCATCAAAATTTAAAAAAATATTATAACCAATCAAATTCTTTATTTTTAAAGCCATCCCCAAATTGAAAATTTCTCTCCTACCCCTTCCAAATATTCGCAAACGCCTAACTTTAGAAAAGACGATGCTGCAATATTGAAGAAAGATGTTTTCATATTTCCGGATAAAATCGCCATTGGAAATAATCATCACGCCCCTAAAACCAAAGATAGGGATTACCTCAATGAAGAACAACCGTTTAACTTGGAGGCAAAAATTATATGCAACCCAGAATATAATGATTCTTTACGTAGGACGAGTGAGAATGTCCCAGATACAACTCAAGTTAATAAGTACGATTTTTTTAAATATTTACACTCATTTTTTTGATGAATCTTTTGTGTAAATCCATCTATTTACCTTCAATTCATTTTCTTTTATATTTAAAAAAAGGTAATATTACGATTAATGATATGAGAATTTGAGGAAATAGTAAAATTATTGTGACTACTGATATGAGAACCTGATGAAACAGTTAACTAAACACAAATAATTACGCAAAACATTTTTTTTTATTCTTTTATTAAAAATTTTCTCACAAAAATAATAATCATAAAATCCAAAACTTTTTATAAATTTTAATATATGTAATAATTTCAAATTGGAAAAAAATACAATTTACGGAATCTTTTTATTAATTATAAAAAAATATGTGTAAAAATGTAAAAACATTACATAATAATTAATATTTTCGACAAATCCCAAAAATAAACATAAAAAATATATAATGTTACAAAAGGTAACAGCATTCATTTTATAATTTTTAAATAAATGAATTATTTATTAGAAATTCAAATTTAAACTCAATTGATTTAAAAAAAACGCTAGATAAGTTTCACAATATATAACCCGTCATGTTCTCACTTATAATTACTTTTTATATAACTGATATTAGAACTTCTAATTTAAAATATGTTTTATAACGTTTTTCTCTAGCTCGCTATATTCCTTATACAAGAAAGTTTTTGTTAAATAAATAAGGAACATTTTTAAGGGCCTCCTTAAGCCAGCCCGAAAATTAACACTTGTAAGCGTTCTGATGTCTCAACAGCACAAGGAACAGCTGATTCGAGCAGCTCGGCGACGAATCACCGAACCCTCGCACCAAAATGGCCAAATGATTGGATTGCCACGATATGTTGATCCCCCAGTAAATAATTCAGCATCGCAACAAAATGGCTTTAATGAGGAGGAAAATTATTGTAAAAAATATAAGAATCTAATTATTTCATTTTTCCTTGCATTTAAATATATTTTGTTTATTTACCAACATTATCCTGATTTAAAGAATGTATTATGCTATTTTGTAGGATTCAGAGAGAAAAATAATTTTTTTTAAACAAAATTTCATCAATATCTTTATATAGATGCTCAAAATTTAAATAACAATAACAACCATATTGATTATTACAACCACGATATGGAAAAGGAATTTTACGAACTTGCTGACAATGATATGACCCCGAACAATTGGAACTTTATTAGGCATATTCCCAATATTTCATTACCCGAGGAAACATCTATCCCTTCCTTACCTCCCCTTTATAGTTATTCTACATTTTCTTATTCAGATCACGAATGCGATGTAAATGCATCACCCAAAAGGTATTTTTCATTATAAAAAAACTTAATTTATAATTTGAACATTGTTAAGAGATTTTTTAATTGAGAAGAGAGGAAGCTGATAAAATTTACATAAATGCCCTTGATTAGTTCAGTAAACTCCAATCTATTTAATAATTAACGTTTTTAGGTATGAATTTTAACACTTAGGATTCTATTAATTCTTTTGAAGGGTTAGAGGCCTACTACTTACTTTTTATAACAAATTACTCATTGGATTTATTAAAATAATCCCATCCAACACTCCCTACGAAATAGATTAGCACGGTCCACATCCGGCAAAAAGATTTTCTGGTTTGGAATTATAAAAGAAAATTTATTTCCTTTCCTTCATGGGCCAAACAACTTTTACAAAATTATTTTATGAATTTAGCAAAAAATTACCACTATTGAATCTACCTCTACTCTACTCTAGTAACCCAGTAATGCTGAGACATAAACCCCTTAATCTTAGTAAGTTGGTAACTAATACCCATTCAAAAAATACTATCAGATTAAAATCGCGTTAATTCTCAAAATTTTTTTTGGTATAATAAACTTTTATAAGAATCAAAATATTGTTAAATTTCTCTAGAATTATTTCTGCAGATTTTATAAAATATTTTCCTCGGAGGCACATTGTTTAAAATTATTTTTATAAATTTGATTTAAATCAGAAAAAATTTCGATTTAAAAAAAAATCATGATTTTTCATGTCCCTAATTAATAACCTTGTAAAATATTTTCTTTAGCTCATCCCAAATGTGATTATGTTGAAACTTATTTATATAAAACAGATATATGTATTCATAATTAAAAAATTGTAAAATATTTTCTTTAGCTCATCCCAAATGTGATTATATGTTGAAACTTATTTATATAAGACAGATATATGTATTCATAATTAAAAAATTGAATTGGTACATGTGTTGTAGTATAATAATAAATATCCCCAACCCAAGGATGCAATTTAAAATCGCAACAATGACTTATATAAGGTAAATAAATAGGTAATTATTAATCAGGCGATAATAATTATTCCTGAGTATAATTTATCTTCATCTTGACATTCAGTGTTGTAGAAGGTTCTTACTTTATTTCAAATTCGATTTAATCAACTTCATTTTCTTTTATTGCAAATTTTGAAATAAACAAAAAATTGTTGGTGAACTTTGAAATTTTTTTTAACGGATTCAATATTTAGAATATAATTCAGCTCAAAAATGGATTTAATTAAATCAATGATTTCACTCTGGAAAACTTATATTGAACTTTATTTTTTTTAAATCATATTTAATAATTAAAATATTTTGAAGTTTTATTTTTATTTCATCCTTCCTAAGCCTCAAACACAAACGTCCGAAGTCGATTTCCATTGCTTCATTGTTCTCATCCATTTCTATCGAAAGTAATGAGACCGCGACAAAATTCGATACAAATAACTTTTCCAAAATATTTCGAAACAATCAAATCGATCCAAATAACAAAGATCTTAACCAATTTCCAAATTTGACAGATGATGTAATCAAAAATAGGGGAAGCAGCCTTGATAATCCATTGCTTACTAACTCTTCCTGTTCTTCCTACACTGAACATGACACTCCACCTTTAAAAATATATCATAATTGTAATGACAAAGATGAAGTAAATCCTGGTTTCAATACTTATCATTTATACGAAGGTTGCGATCGCTTCAGTCGATTGGAAAATAGCAAATATCGATTCAAAAAAAAAATTCAGCGGGATTCCAGGCGTATCGAAAAACGCACCAGATCCCTTAAGACATTTAAATCTTTACCGAGAATGAAATATTTTACTTGCCTCCGCCCTCGTTGCACTAAAGATGATGACAATCATACCAAGTTAGTTGATAACTCTACCCAATGTAATATTGATTTTTCAGGGAATGATATTGAATAATCATCCTTACAAGATACATCACTTAAAAAACCATTTAAAACAAATCTACAATGAATTTTATTTGCAATGAGGAAAGCGTAATAAACCTATTAGTTAAAGTTATAAAAGCCCCCCCCCCCCCACTTGATCAGTAGCTTGTAATTTGTATTTCTTTATTAAAAAAAATCTTCCATCCCTTTTTTACGCTTTTTTAATTATACATTCATTCCTTCTTCTATGAATATATGCGTATTATGCCCTATGTTTATAAATGCAATTTTGTTAAAGTACCTTAAAACTTGCCTTACGACATAATAAATATTTCAAAATATATTTACAATCTATTATAAAATAACCGAGTTATTTATTTATGAAAATATTTATTTTTTATCCGTAATCAAAAGAAACCAAAATTTTATATAGTACTTATAATATTATAAAATTAACATGTCTGATTTTAAAAATTTTGCGTTATATTTTATCGTGTCGATTGCTAATAAATAAGTGGACCCTATTGTAAATTTTTAGATGTCGATTTTATGGAAAAATGATTTCATATATTAAAGAAATATTTCAATCAATCATTTTCTACGTTTATGTTTGTATAAAAGCCACAACACATCTGTCTTGTCTTGGTCCTAAAACTCCGCATCCAAAAGTCGGAGTCTAGCAAATATCGATTTTTAAAAAATAAAATTCACTTCTTAAAATATCAATACCATACTATTTTTCCATTTTCATTATTTTTTTAAATCTTATCTTAATGGGCATTGAAATTACCGATCCTGAAAATAATTTTATTTAAGTCGATGTAAATAGAACATGATTTATATGCTTACAAATTATAATGTTTGAGGTTGAGGGATTTTTCAAATAATTCATTTCATGTTTAATTTGCTTTTTTTAAAAACTATATTTAAAAATACCGCGTCTATTTAAACACTGAAGCGTTTTAAGAGATTAGCTTTGTATAAATTTATAAAACAAATTTTTAATATAAAAATTGAAAGTATTACAGATCAAGGTTGTCTCCAAAATTATGTTCTTATCAAGTAGAAATAGCAGGATATTTATATATTCAATATTGTTATTAGATATGTTCATCAAAGTTAAAAAAAGAATTTAAGACTTCACTAATTAGATTTATTATTTTTTTAAAATTTATTATTAAATTAAAGGTTATATCAAGATAATTCTTTGTCTGGATTGCGATGTCACGACACTCTTTATCATAAAAACTTTTCACTTTAATTCTTTCTCTATCTTGTAAAATCTATTGCGTGCTAACAACTATACCCTCTATCCCCAAATCGCTTCATTTTCACTGGTCAGGTATCCTTCATTTCCCGTTACCATTAAGATTACTTCTCCCTGATGGTATTCTTCTATGTATCCAAACCATAACACCGGCCTCATAATCAATTGAACTTCAGTTTTAAAAGCGATATTTAAATAAACTATGATATATGCCCTATATTTTAAGGGGACGAATCCAGTTGAACCACTCTGACAATGACTATACTACCCTATTGAAATTCCATCCAGGTTAAAAAGACAATAATTTTCACTATTGTCTATATTCTCATGGTTTCTGGTTATTTTTTGAGTTGCGTAAATAAATGAAATACTCGTTTGTTTTCAACAAGTTAATTTATTAATATTTTTTAGAGGCCCCCCCCCCCAAAAAAAAATGAATCTATTCTTCAAAAAAATAGCTTTAATTATGATATACATTTTTAAGAATTAAAAATTTATCAAGAAGGGAAAAATAATTTTAGCGTATTTTGATAGATAATTTCGGCTAAATCATCGGGGGGTTGGCTAGAACTGGAAAAAATGGCCTCTAAAACCTCCAGAACTTGGACGAGAGTACAAGGCTCGTTTCTACCTTTAATCAAAGAGTTTTCATTTGAGTTTTTATCTTTTGTATTCATTTTACAAGGGTTCATTTTGTCCCTTTTCTTGGATTTGAAATGAGTTTTAATATATTGATGACTGGCGTGGGTTGATTTAATTTCACACCAGGGCGAATCTTTAAAAATTAAAAATCATAAAGATAAATTGGGAAAAACGAAATAATTTAAATTTTACTTTTAAAAAAATTTACAAATCTATTTTTGAAAAATAAGCTACTCCAACCAGATACTTTTAATTAATAAAAATAACATTATAATCAACAAAATTTGTTAAAACCAATCAGCTTTTAATTAATCCTACCCAATGAATAGTAAAAAAGTTGATTCTTAAATTTTGGCGCGATTTTTTTTCCCTGAAATTAATTGATTTTGATATAAAAAAATTAAGAAATAGCATTCGAAATAAAAAGTAAATCATAAACAGGGATAAGAAATTAAATTTATTCAAATACCAGTTTCTATGAGTATCCTATTCGGTGGAATTTGTGCCACCGTTTTAAGGTTATCAGACGTTTTGAGTGAACACCCATTAATTCCAATATATATTTTGGGACTTAACTTAAGCAATTCTTCCGCTTCCTCTGGAGTTCCAGTGAATGAATGTACCTATTAAAAATTTTGGTGATTGTTATCTTATTTTTTTAAATGACTTTACTTAAAAAGCTTCTACTCGACATAATGCAAGGCAAATTAAAAGTTATAAACTTATACCACTTATGCTAATGTTCTTAATCATTAATTACTTTAAAAAAATCAATTTATAAATAGGGCCGTGCTGACATTGAGTCCGGGGCCGATATTTTCAAAAAAACCACTACAATCCGATTTTTTCTTGTTTTTTTAGCGATTGTATACATAATTTCATAATCAAAATAAAAATCGAATTTACAATGTTTAAAATCATCCAATTATTAAAAGATAGATAGATAATATGATGCTATATTATCTAAAACAAGAAAAAGGTTTAAAGATATCTAATTGAGTCACACATAGCTGGAAACAGTTCGATTTAACTAATATTTTTTTTTAAAACTGATAGAAATTTTAGCCAAAATAAAAAGTACACAAGCTAGCTTGGAGATTTTGTCCAAAGATGGTATAATATTTTGAAACCATAAACTTTATATTTTAATTTAAATGAGACTAACTTTTAAAGAATAAATAAATTTAAAATAAACTAAATCATTTGATGACATTGGTTCAAAGATAGATGGTAAATAAAAATGTATATAAAGGATCAGTTTTATATTAATATCAGGTCAAGAAAAATGTGTAGATTGGCATAGTCCCATTTATATATATTTAATATATTATTACCACAGCACCAAATTTATCAATCACATCTATGTTTTTTTTGAGAATTTCTATAAAATCAGAATGGCAATTTCTACTATGCAGAAATGAAGGCAATTGATGTATCCTAGCGAGTTCAAACTGCATTTCAAAATACCTTGATTTTAATAAATTTTATTGGATAGTTTGGCATGCAACAAGAACTAATAAATGAGTTTTAATAAAAAATTTTGCATATTATATAAAGATATAATGAGATTAAATTTATAATAAGGCTGTGCCAATATCGGATCATGGTTAGTGCTTACCTTTTTTTGATTGGATTGGACCAATTAGATTTGATTAAAAATTTCCAGCATGTGACAAATATGCAAAATGTGAATTTCATAAAATTTGGCAATGAAATTTAGAACTATTCTAATTTTGTATTTTTTTCTTGAGATCTTTCATAAAAATAAAAAAATGCAATCATGCTGTGGATACTACATTTTTAAATACATTTACAATCAAATCCAATCATACCACAATTTATAATAAATCAAGAGATTCCAATTTCCGTGAATTTGATTATATTTAGCCATTATTTCTCATAAATTGTCTTAATTTTAATTGAATCATAGGCATACCAAAGGTTAACCCTGCTCCTTTTCCACAAAAATATATAATAATTTATTTTTATGACTACAAATAGAAATTTTCAAAAAAAACATTTTTCAAAAAAAGGTAATAAGCAGATTATTTTTTATAAAATGTAGCACAGCCTTACAATAAAAGCCCAATAAAATTTATTAAAAAATAAATCCAACTAATAATGCACCCCCCTCCCTCCAGAAAAATCCTGGACTATGCTTAAATAATATACTTGATTTGAATGTCCTTTCTACAAAAATTGAGACGATCATAATCTGTTATTCAGAACAAAATTATAATTTGTAAGATTTACATTTAAAAATAATAATGATAGAATTAGATATAAATTAGTATTTAACTGAATGTTATTATGTTTATAACAACTTATTATTTATGTATAAATAATTTAAACCTAACCCATATTCACCAATCGCAATTATTTTGTCTTTGTTATCTTTGATTAGCTCTGATAAATAATTAAAATATTTTTGTGAATCAGTATATTTTTGTTCAAATTCTAGACATCTTGTGGGGTGACAGCCAACAGTTGTATATAAATTTTCTAGTTAAAATAAGTAATTCACATGCTTTTAATATCAAACCATAATTTTTAACTAAGTCTACACTTTCTTTACATTCATCCAATGAGCCACCTGTTACAAAAATCTATTATTTTTTCATAAAATTATTAGTTTATTAAACTTTGGTTAAACCAAATTCAAAAGACTTCTTTATAACACTGTCCAAGTCAATATCATGATATTTTTTACCATTATATACACCTTTGAACATACTATCTATAAAAAATTTTTAAACTTACTTATAATAAATAATACCTGTGAGGTTCGCGCCTATATCTATAATAATTATTCACATTATTTAATTATTTATATTTAATTTAACCAATAAATTTCTTAGCTTTCATTTAAATTTCACACATGTAAAGTAAAATGTAAAAATCGGTATAACTAAACTGAGAATTAACAGGTAAACTGAGAATTGACAGGTAAACTGAGAATTGACAGGTAAAATTTTTTTTATTTTATTGCCTATTAATTATTTTTAAATATATAAATAAAATTTTTTTAAAGTAAAAATCAAATCTATCCAAAATTAAAATTATTTAAATATATAAATTGATGTATATCTTATATATATTTAATTTTCTTTGTAAATAATTATTGATAAATTTAAATAATTATTGATAAATATAATGTCAATCATTAAAATAATTTGTATTAAAAAAAAAATAATATATAAAAAAATATATTATAAGATATGAGATTATTAATTGATTTTTTATTTTGAAAACATAAAAAAACTTTTGACTTTTAAAAAATTATAAATTGATATTTTACTTTGAAAAAGAGATTTTATTAAATGAATTGTATATTTATGAATTGGAATTTGAATTATTTGATATCGATTTTATGATTATACTATTAGAATTTATTAGATGAAAAATAAAGTGAAGTTATTGAAATTAAATTATTTGTAGTGAAAATTGAGAAATATTTTATTGGTACCGACTGACCAAGATTCGTGAACACTTATTAGGGAAAAAATAAGTTAGAGAAAATATAAAAATTGAGATTTTTAGAGAAAAAATAAAACAAGAGTGTTTTATAAAAATAAATTTCAGACGTTAGTAATCAGGAAAAAGATTTTCTAGGACCGGGTTCCTCAAAATAATAGTGGATTCCGGAAATATAAAGGTAAGAAATTTTTGTTGTCTTATAAATTACACAACGCAATAGTAAGATTTTTTGGATTAAAATTAGAAATATATAAGATAAAATTTTAAATTTTGGGTAATTAATGATAAAATGGCTTTTTATTTTAATGATAATTATAATAAGCATAATATTAATAAAATGTCAAATTTTAAGAGTAATTTTAATAAAATTTTTAATTCAAACTTTAATAAAGTGGATGTGACCAAAAATGTCATTACTGCAGTAATTTTTTTTTGTTTTATGTAATCTTAATTATAATGAAACAAGAATAAGGAAAATAAAAGAAGATCTCTTAAAAATAGAGAAAATGATATAAAAAATACAAATACTGAAAATTTAATTCCTAAAGTTTTGGTGAAATCTCCAGATATTTCTGAAGATATCAAAAATAGTTTACATTTAATTTTGTTAGAATTAAAAAATTTAAATGGTAAAAAAAATGTTGAAGAAAAATATGAGAAAATATTAGATACGGGTGAAGTATTTAATTTTCATCAAAATATTGACATATCGGAGGATATAAATAAAAAATTAAATTCAATTGTGATAGAATTTAAAAAACAAATTTCTGAGGTTTTAATCGAGAAACCAGTAGAAATTTCGAAAAATAATAAAACAAATAATACTTTGAGACTAAGTATCAAGGAATCTCTAATTTTAAGAGAAATTAGAGAAATGAGAGAAAATATGAAAAATTTGTCCAGAGAAGTTTCCAACTTAAAAATCAAAAGTAATAATGTGATTGAAAGTTGTGAACTTTGTGGAAGAAAAGGACATATTGGTAAAAATTGTTATTTAAGAGACCGAAAAACTAATGAGAATGTAACTGCAAAACCAAGTGAAAAAAATGACATAGTGTGTCATAGATGTGGTTTTGTAGGACATATAAAAAGAAATTGCATGGTGAAAGATGCCAATTTCAAAAGTGGATTTCCGCAACAAAATCCTCAGATTATAAATGTGTATGAAATTAAAACTTATGATACAGACCATGATAGAATGTGTTTCAAATGTGAAGAAATGGGACACATTGCCATACATTGTATCCAAAGTGTGAGTGGGTCACAGTGACTATATGATTTGAAAGAGAGTCATATAAAAATAGAAAAATCTTATTTAGAGAATAATAAATATTTTGATATATATAGTTTTATCAAAAATTTTGTGGATATATATAATAAAATAGATAATCATCATGGGAATGATGATTATATATTGAAATTTACTTGAATAAAAAGAGTTTTAATGTAGGAAATTTTTATTGTCATTTTAATGAAATAAAAAATTTTAAATTAACCAATAATCTGAATAAAAAGGATTATTGTAATCAAACAAGTGAGAAATATCCAGGAGAGATTTTTAATAAAAACATAAATGAGATTCAGAGATCTTTAAATTCTAAGATGAATTTAGGTATGAATATTAATTGTATTGAAAAAGAGGTTAAAATAAATACCATTCAACCGATTAAATTGCCTAAAAATGTAATAACTGAGGAAGCAAAGGAACAGATCATGTCCTCATATTAATTTAAAATTTGGTGGACAAATGGTTGAAATGTTATTTGATACCGGGGCAAGTATTTCAATAATGTCTAGTGAAAATTTTTATAAATATTGGCCGAATGGTATTGTCGAGAGACATAATATGTGTATAAAACAATTTGATGGATCTGAAATCAAAGTTTTGGGTAGAACTCAGTGGAATGTTATTTTCCATGATATTCGTATAATTTTGGATTTATGGATAGTGGAAAAAAATGTTGAAACAATTATGGGTTGGGATTGGATTAGCAAACATGGACCTAGAATTAATTATTGGGATTTATTTATCATTGATAGCGAATTGGCTAGAGATAATGCCGAAAGAAAAATAATGGCTAGTGAAGTCAGGAAAAGCTTAAATAAGGGAAATGAATAAATTAATGAGGGAAGCGAAAGAATCTATCGTTAATAAGAATATTTGTGAATATCCTGCAAAATCCATGATAGATTCAAATCAATATAAGATCAATAGTGAAATTGATAATGATAAAAAAATTAATAATGAAATTAATGAATTAAATAGAGTTAAAAACGCTATACCTATTTTAGTTGAAAAATATGATATAATTTTTGAAGACACTTTGGGATGTCTAAATGATTATCAAGTAGATTTAAAATTAAAAGAGGGATTTTCACCTATTTTCTTAGCGTGTCGTAGAGTTTCTTTTGAGTGGAAAAAGGAGATCAACGAAGAATTAGATAAATGGGTTAATGATGGTATTTTATTCTTGTGGAATATAATGAATGTGCTACACCGTTAGTACCTGTTAAAAAATCTAATGGAAAACTTAGATTATGGGCAGATTTTCGAGTAACACATAACAAATGGGTTGTGGAAGTGAAATATTCATTATCTCGAATTGAAGAAATTTTGGCAAATTTAAAGGGAGCCAAATATTTTTCAAAAGTTGACTTTTCATCAGCATATTTACAATTGTCTTTGAAAGAAGAAATTCGTAAATTGTTAACAATAACAACGCCTAAAGGATTATTTGCATTTTGTAGATTACCTTTTGGATTAAGTGTATCTGCACCGATTTTTCAGAGAACAATGGCATCAGTTTTCCAGGGTTTGAAAGGCGTATTTTATTATAAGGATGATGTGTTGATTGGAGTGACGCCAGAACAACATAATCTACGTCTTGAAGAGGTTTTCAAGAGAATACAAGATAAAGGTTTAAAAGCCAGTAAAGAGAAAAGTATTCTTGGTGTCACCGAAATATTGTATTTGGGTCATCAAATTAATGGAATTGAAGTGAAGCCGCTTGATAAAAATTTAATAAATATTTTAAACATAAATCAGCCTAGTAATAAAGCTGAAGTGCAGTCTTTTATGGGCATGATAAATTATTATCATAGATTTGTGGATAATTTTGCAAAAATAGCAGCTCCACTATATGACTTATTAAAAAAAGGTGTTAATTTTGAATGGAAAATTGAACAAAGAAATGCTTTTGAAAATTTAATGAGAAAAATTGGAAAGGAACCAATTTTAATGTGTTTTAACAATGATTTGGAGATAATTCTTGCGGTTGATGCATCCAATAAAGGTGTAGGAGGTGCATTATTACATGTCATTGATGGTTTAGAGAGACCAATTATTTTTTTTTCGAGAATATTTCATGAAGTTGAAACGAGGTACTCTGTTATAGAACAGGAGGCCTTAGCGATTATTTTTGGATTGACCAAATGTCGCGAGTATTTAATAGGGAAAAGATTTGTGATTTATACAGATCACAAGCCATTAAATCATTTGTTCAAGAGAGATAACAAACAATTAATGATGTCTCAGAGGTTACAACGGTGGTTGTTACTTGTGGGAAGTTTTAACGTAGATATAAAATATCGGCGAGGTAGATAAAATCATTTGCCAGATATATTATCGAGATTAGGGGCAGGTTGTGCTACTCCTGAAATAATTGATAACATGATTATTGATAGAGAAGATGCATTAGTGCGTATTCTATCATATATGTTAAAGGGAGGTCCTACAACTTAGGAAGATCTCAATCGTTTACTTTAGAAGATAAAGTATTGAGACAAATAAAATTATTTTTAACAGGAAAAAACCATGGAAATATAATTATAAAATTTATCAAAAATTCGAAAAAGAATTATCCGTGGTGGATGATTGTTTAATGAGAGGAAATAGAGCAGTAATTCCTTTGAAATTACGTGCTAGAATAATTAATTTGTTACATGCAGGACACCAGTGCCAAGTTAAAATGAAATCTTGGGCTCGTGAATATGTATGGTGGCCTGGGATGGGTAATGATATAGAAAAATTACAAAGGAATGTGTTCCATGTAATACTTGTGCCGTTATGCCCCGTAAAGAGATGGGACAAGTGTGGCCCAAATCAAAGAAACCATGGGATCGTCTCCACATTGATTTTTTTTGAATTGGATAAAAAATCATATTTTTTGGTTGTGGATTCATATTCCAAATGGATTGAATTTGAAGAGGTTCAAAGGTTAACAACTAAAGTTGTTAACCTAATTATTACAAAAATTGTGGGCTAAATTTGGAATTCCTAAAATAATTGTATCGGATGGAGGTCCGGCTTTTATAAGTGAAAATTTTAAGCAATTTTGTAATTCAATTAAAATTAAACATATTTTGACTCCACCTTATCATCCTAGCTCTAATGGCCAGGCTGAAAGGATGGTTGCTATTGTAAAAAATTGGATAAAAAAGGCGAAACAAGAAAAAAATGATGTCTGGTTAGCCCAATTATATTATAATAATTTAAGGAATAAGGAGAGAGTTACTCCTGTTGAATTATTTTTGGGTAGAAGAACCAAATTACCCTTAGATTTTCTTAAGTCAAAAGAAATTGACAATATATTATCTTGTAAAAAACCAATATAAAATTTCCTGTGGGAAAAATTAGGGTAGACTTTTTGACCATAAAAAAAAATGGGAGAAAGGTTGTGTTATAGATAATATTGGGAATAAATTATGTACAATACGATTTGATGATGGTACTGTGGGAGTACGTCAAAATGATTTTATTAGGGTAACTGATAAAGGGGGAATTTATAATTTTTTAGGACATAATTCTTAGGACAGAAATCTTATATGATATTTGTATCAGTTTTTAAATATTAATATAAGGCTTGGGAGCTAATTCTTAGGACAGAAATCTTATATGATATTTATATCAGTTTTTAAATATTAATATTTGATTTAATTTTATTTAATATCATGTTATTGTGATATAGAGAAGATTATCATAATAATTTTTTTTATGAAATAAGATAACATGTTTTATGAGTTTCTTTTAAAAAAAAATTGAAGTGTAAAATATTTTTTAAAATAAAAACATGAATGGTGTTATTGTGAAAATGTTTTTTAAATTTGAATGGCATAAGGGTAATGGTAAATATTTTATGTGTTAATAAAGAGAAAGATTATTAAAATTGATAATTAATAGTTAGTGATTTTCTTGTATGGAAAGAAAAGTGAAAAACAAAATATTTTTTTGAAATAAAAACATGAGTGGTGTTTTCATGGAAAGTTTCTTTCTTTATATAATTTACATAAGGGAAATATGTAAATAATGTATGTTATAGAAAATGGAGAAATTATTGTTATATATAAATTACATAGGTGTATTGTTATGTGTTAATATAGAGAGAGATTATTAAAAAAGATAATTAATAGATTTTCTTCATTTAAGAAAAGTGAAAAGTAATATATTTTTGTAAAAGAAAATAACATGAGTGTTGTTTTTAGTGAAAATTGTTTTTATTTTATTTGAATTACATAGGGGTAATTTGCAAATTATGATATATTTAAAAAGAGAAAAATTATTTTAAAAAAAATAATTAATAAGTAGTAATTTATTCTAAAAGAGAAAATTCATTAATTATATTTGATAACAAAATTAAAATTTTTTTTTAAAAAAAAAATAAATTAGAGTATTTATTTAAAAGTAAAAAAAAAATATATTGGAATAATATATATCGTGATGAATTATAAAATAGACACACGACACCAGAACAGATTATTTATGTGAACAAGGATTGTATGAATTGGAATATTTTTATGATTATACTATTGGAATTTTTTAGATGAAAGTTAAAGTGAAGTTATTGAAATTAAATTATTTGTAGTGAAAATTGAGTATTTTATAAATAAGAATATAGAAGATATTGTAGTCCATAAATTTATAATATGTATAGAACAGATCTATTATATAGAAAATATAACGTCCATAATATATTTTGCATATCATAAATAAAATTCCGCTAGATGGCGTAAATTATTAAAATTTTTGTTTTTAAAAAATAATATCAATTATAGGAGCATAATTCTTCGCTCTGGATTAATTGATTTGTACCAACTTATATAAACATAAAATGAAAAAATATTTAAGATCCCATCATTATTTTTGGAGTTATAATGTGAATTCTCAGTTTAGTCAGTTTTTTTTTTAAAGATTTTTATGATTTTAAAAATTTTATTTTTTTTTGACTCATTTGGTGTAAACTAACATATATAAACATAAAATGAAAAAATTTT